GACATATCATAAACACACTTTTTTATCCTAGTCATATGATGACCAGCCACTCGATGAAATTACCAGCCATGCAGAGGATGCAAAAGCCTCTTCTTTGCTTAAAATGGGCCTCCAACAATTAAGGAAATCCTTACTGTAGAGCAAACTCAGCTTCGATATCCAGATATGAACGCATCGTGGATGCTTGGGAGTTATGACGGCCGAATAGTTTGTGATCTACAGTATCCTATAAATAACGAATACCGGAAACGACCCCAACTTAATTCTGCCATCAAAAAAACACTAATATGAACTACAAATGGGCGACAACGGAAGCAAGCGTTATTGTACACTTCCTGCGTAGGTAAACTTATGTGCTAACCACTAAGTTATTTAGTGACCTATCCAGTTCATACATTCGACCGCATCCAGATTAAATTAATTGTTATGTGTAACTACAGTCTGCTTGACCAAGTTAACCTAAGAGCTTTAACGGGCCATGGGAAATACTTCCCTGACCACCTCGAGGTCTCCAACGTAGTCAACTTCGCACCAGGACAAATCCTATAGAACTTCACTTTCGCATTTTTCGGAGGGCCTGTGTTCGCTGGTAGTCCTGCTGTTGCTGGTGGTATTTCTGGACGAGTTGCAGGTGGTGGCCGTGGTTGATTTAGGAGCTTTCTGAAGTGGTCATTGCATCGTTTATTTTCTTTCTACTGTTTGGTAACTAGGTTTACTTCACCATCTCTCACTGGCTTTGTCTTCATTGGTCTCTTTACGGATGGTAATCCGGTTGTTTCATACAATGCTGTCAGGTCTCTCCTACCTCCAGCCTGTTCTACTTTATTTGCCAGTGTGTCGTCGAAGTGTCTTTTGTCTTTGCGCGCACTCTTCACCTCTTTGTCCAGTGTTTCATACATTGTGCTCAGTCCTCCTTTTCGTCATGCATCGTAGAACTGCACTGGCTCATCTTCTGCTTCACCATCCTCCTCTCCCCTCCTCTGTCAGCTTTCATGCGTCCTTCCGGATCCATTCATTGTTTTGTTTACTTTTTCTTCCTGATATGGTTATGCATGTTTCTTTGCACATCTCTTTCAAGGGGTTCTATTGTTCTTCCATCCCCTGCCCTTCAGAGATGCTGCTCAATGTCTCCCATTTTGTTGTGATGACTGCCTGACGTGAAGATGTCCTGTATAGTTTCGTCTTTCAGTTTCTGTTCTGGGTGTTGAACTTCAACTGTGGCCTATCATCACCAACTTCTCTGAAGACTTTCGACTTAATTTTGAAAGTTCCTTGCACTGGCTGGTGAGCGGTGTGAACCTACACCTGCTCTCCTTCTTGATCTAGTGTCCGGAAGGCTGCGTCTCCGCTTTCTTCACATTGAAGTGAAATCGATCTGATTTTCAGTATACCCTGGTGTCTGATGAAGTTCATATCGCTTTGTGAATATCCTTGTGTTTGTACACACTGCCTACAATCACCAAATCGCTGAATGAGCAGAAATCTGCAGACAGTTCTCCATTCTCGTTTGTCGTTTCACCGAGTGTTTCTTCACTCATGATGAGTTCTCCTCCTGTGTTGTTTGTCCCTACTTTGGCATTCATGTCGCGCATTAGAACTTTGATGTCACGAATTGGAGACTTTCATTTTCATTAGACGTAACTTCATTGTTCACGAGTGTGCCACTCACCGAGACAGTCTGTTATGTATGTGACTAAATTGATGCACATAATTTAGGCGTAGGACTACCAATGAGACTGCTTGAAAGAGCTTTTGTTGAGGTGCACACTTAGCGTCCAATTCAGTTTCAAAAATGAAATCTATAGACAGAAAGATGGAATTGCGATGGGGTCACCATTGGGACCACTGCTAGCAGATTTCTTCATATCGAAACTAGGAAATTCACAGCTTCGTCAAACTATTGGTAGCTTTGACTTTATAGAAGGTATATAGATGATACGTTTGTTACCTGCGACAAAAATGTAGACCTCGACGATGTGCTTCGTTCATTCAACAAATGTCATCAAGCCCTCAAGTTTACTATAGAGAAGGAATCAGAATCAACTATTCCTTTTCTTGATGTGCTTCTCACCCGACGTCAGAATGGATACCTTAAAAGTTCCATCTACAGAAAACCAACGTGGAACGGACAACTAACTAATTTTTATAGTTGGGTGCCCATCAACAGAAAAAGAAATCTTATTCACCCTCTTTGCCATCGAATAAGAAATATCTGTAGTGACGATTGTATTGATGAAGAGCTATCTTTTTAAAAAGCATACTTGTCGAAAACGGTTACCCTAGCCGTTTTACTGATAAAAATATGCGGGAAAGAAACTCTAAACCGGTCATCCACTCGGTCTCAAAGAAAAGATTGTTTATGAGCCTAGAGTTTAAAGGTGACCTAGCATCGGATGTACTGAAGAATCGTCTTACCAGATCAATCAATAGGACTTTCTTCGCAGCAAGACTTCAGTTGACCTTTACCAGCCGCATGCTATTCTGCGCCTGCGTTAAAGACAAGCTTCCTCGTTTGGCCGCTCCTATGTGCATCTACCAGTTCGCCTGCTCTTGTGTAGCAAGGTACATCGGCCGTAGCCAGAGAATGCTTTCTACAGGTATACGAGAACATGTTCCTGCTTGGTTTTATAAAGGTGAAAGAAAGTCTGTTAGAAGTTCGATTCTAGAACATTTGGTTGACTTCCATCACATAACAAATCCAGACGATGACTTTGAAATTGTTCATCAAAATCGCCCAAACCTCCCACATTCTCTTCGTTTTCAACTCCTTAAAACATCGGAGGCTTTAGCTATTCATGGACTAAGACCTTATCTGTGTGTACAAAAGAAGTATGTGCAGTCACTGTCTTTATCATGGCCATAACATTTTCCCATCCCATCAGCCCCCCCTCCCACTTTGTTAATTTAACCTTTGTATCCTTCCTTTATCACTATTATTGTTATTATAAACGCCTTCACTTTAACCAGTTTCCGGTGTTGTTTCACTTAATTGTCTTAATCCTTTTAAAAAGCAGACTTCATCTTGTACAACTTGTCTAATGCCATTACATAACACTTAATTGATTTACCATTTTTGACAATTTTTTCACCCCCTTCTGAGTTTTATACTCTCTATGTACCATTCCATTTATTACATAATCTATTTGTTATCATTCGCACTTCAATTGTTATTATAATCACAAATGTCTTTGTCATCATCCGCTTTATTATTATTGTCATCACCATATAGTGTTCAGTTTTCCCCACAGGATATAATTTTTTCCGAATATCATATATACAATTGTACAGCTTGAAAATAAATTCGTTGAAAAGAGTCTCTTCGCTGAATATCTTGTTCTTGAATTGGAGTTTTGTCCTGTACTGATTGCAGTCATCTGTAGAATTCCTGCTTCTTCTCCTGATCTGCGTAGTTTGTAGGTGGTTAGCGTAGCACTGAATGATTGTGACTTTCCTTCCTTTTGAGTTGAATCTTCCTATCATGACATCGGAGTAGGAGACTGGTCCCCACCGAATGAGAGCCTTTGATGTTGTTGGGGGAAGATCTGCAGATGACCTAGCCTATTGGTTTGTGACGTTAATACACCACCACTCACGTAAAATCAGGCGAACCCTCTGAGGAAAGTTCGGGAGGCTTTTTAGGAATGCGAAAAGTTACACCAGGATAGATTGATGCATCTATTCCTCTGTAAATTTTGTCTCCGTTGGATATTCGGTAACTTGGTGGTAACCTACAAGGTAACAAGTGAACCAGGCGTCTCGAAAAGAGGAACATTTCTCGAAAGTCGTCATGGAGACCCTCATGCAAACTAGACTACGACCCCCCACGGAAGAACCAAAACCTGTTCATGATCATACCTGTTTTCCCTTCCACTTCTGAAGCAGTTAGAATGCACAGCTTGGTGAAATGAGTAGGTGATTTCACTGCATCAAAATCAACCAGACACAAAAGCATTTTGAAAGATTTCGAAGCGAGTTTAAAGGACTCAGAAAGTGTATTTGACTTCATGAAACAACTACTAAATATCATTGAGAGTTGAGACGGCAACCACTAAGACCTCTGGAGTCAGTGGTCGTCACAAAGGCGCTGACCGGTGGGTTAGATACATCAAGTAAAGAAGCCACCACTGCCACAGCCCCCACCCAAGTTAAGAACAAAACACAAAAAAACGGAACAATGCCAGTCCTATGAGGACTGGCGAGGGTAGACCCAACCACATAAGCGCTCATCCCTCGAAAATACACATCTAGACCTCCCCTCTCATCAGGCACACTCTAATATGTATGTACAGCAACGTTAGGAGGCTAAGAGGGAAGGTAGCAGAAATGAGGACGCTGCGTGAACATCAGCACTCCGACATCATATTCATCACCGAATCCTGGCTCTCATCGGACATCTCCGACGAAGAGATGCATGTTGCTGGCATGGAACTCTTCCGCAGGGACAGGGAACATAGAGCAGGAGGGGGAGTGGCTATCTACGCAAACTCCTGTTTAAAGGCAAGGAGGGTTAGCGATACGGCCTTAACCCAGCTGCCAGAGTCTCTATGGTGCTACTTCACTCTCTTCTTTATTCTCCCTTCATTCCTTTACCACTACCTTACTATTCCCTCTCAGGTACCTACACAGACAGGAGTCACGGCAGTTCTCTAAACTTCCCAGCAACACGTAGCTCCCTAGTCACTCTACAAATAACAACCTACTAACCCACAAAACATCCACCTCACCGAAGCTAAAAGCAAGAAAGCAGAGGGGATTTACTCTTCCACTGCAGGAGTAAACCAAACAGCTGGAACCAAGCCCTAAGAACTAGACGCGAGAGATCAAAAACTACCAGTTTTCTACGCTCGCACTATCAATATTGGATATTGGACATTGGAATCTGGTGGTGAACTTTTCAAGAGTGTTGTTGCCTTATTTCGCAACTGTCAATGGTATGGATTTTCCACAATTACACATCGGAAACTCATTCTTGCTGTGATTATTTGTGACACGCTACAAACATGGATGTTAAAAATTTACCCAAACGTCTTGCGGAATACTTTGTTATCTGTGGTCTACCCAAAGAACCTAGTACCTATGATGTTTCGAAGGTTAGCTGCCCGATTTTAAGTTAGATTTCTATGTTAGATCCTAACTCATGCTGAGGAGATCATCGCACCAATGCTTCAATCGATTTTACTCGATTTCCCGAACCTATTGTTGACATAAAGGTAAAATTCTCGTTTTAACCAATTTTATTTGTAGATTGTCAGTCTCAATGAAAAGGAGGAAATACCTGAGGGATACACACGCATCAAGTCCACACTTTCTGGTAAACACAAGGCCAACATATTACTGAACTTTGGGGAAGAGGCGTGTATATGTTACAGAAGGGGACGCGACCAACCACATATAAGGGACATCGAGTACGTATCTCGCTTGTCTTCCGTACATGTCTTGTATTACCACAGTTTCATTCCACTGAGTGTAAATCCGTGAAATGTCTTCAGGGAATCCAAGACATTCGGAGAATCAAACCATTTCTAGTATAATGGTTTTTTATATGATACCGTCGTTGATTGGACCGAATTGATCGGTCTCTATTAGCAATTATGGGCTTCTATGCGGATGCCTCGATATTGCCAACGTTCTAATTATGTTAATGGTGTGTCGTGGGCCTTATACACAATAGTTGTACTTAAGATTTTCGAAAACCATTCGCGTATAGTTTTCAGGAATCAATTAGATTTGAGTGTCATACCATCACTGTGAACCACCACAACTCAAGTATTGGTTCTTTGCAATACATTCAGTGCTAAAATGAGACCCGTGATAATAAACGTGTAACACTGTGACTTCCACTCTTGTTGGTCACGCCCCACACGCGTAAAATAAGGAGTAGGGTCCTTTTCAGTATACTGTGGTAGCTATTGAGATTCCCCACCGGGTGCCTAAGTGAAGTGGACCGGATGAAAGGCAATCAAACGTTTTATATTCCTTCTGAAATGCCGTTTTGCACAAACTGATCTGACTTCTCATAAGTCATCGCGTTCAACCATTTGACTCCTTACTGTCAGAAAAACTTGTCGAACGAGACCATTATTAGAGCATTTGAGAGTAGCTAAACGCATCATGAACAGCTGCAAACTGTCATTAAATGTCAAGATTATTCAATGTCATATCAGTAACTTTCGTCTTCTTAGTGTAAGCTGTCTAAGAAGTGTGAGGCAATCAACCCTTGTAGATAAAGGCTAAGTGAAAATTAAGATGATGGATGTTGTTAAAGAGCATCCCTTGACCCAGATGTCTGCTTCGACGTCTCAGATTCTGGATAATTGCGGTTGTTCGAATATAAAACCTTCAGTTGGTGATATAATTCTCGGTCATTTCTTCAGTTAAAGATACCGCAATAAAGCAGACCGATAAAGTTAGATGTTTCCTTGGAGTCGGTAAACAGCATGTGTTGATATGTTTCTGTTTCAAAACCTAAATTTGACGATGTAACTGGTGCATTAATTTTATGTTGGGTGTACTAATGAAAGCTGTAAAGCGCTGGAAATTGTTTTTACTGGTTAAAACTGCCCAACGGTGCTAGTGAATATCGCCTTTTCGTATTTGAAAGATGTCATTCTCACTAGCAGCTGCTTCATTGCAGCTTCCAAGTACCATTAGTTCTTATAATTTACAAGTGTTATTAGCATAGTGATGTAGTTCACTTCATTTATGTTGTGCTGCTGCTGCGTTTACGTTAGTACGTAATCTCTCGAAGTACCCGTTATCGACTACTGATAGGTTAAGCATTGTGAGTCCCGAAACGTCTTCTTGCTCATAGTCTGACTGGCAAAACCTGTTTTGATAACAGTTGAATATTCTGCTACAATTTGTTTTTAACATTCTTTTTGTGTCCCTATTAAAGTTATCAAAATTTGTTTTTATATTGTTCGTTTACTCTTAAAATAACAGTACATTGGGGGAGAAACAATTTCCTAAAACTAACGCAGTAGTCTTGTCAAAAACGATTGGAGGTCGGGATGCCAGCTTGCCTAGTTCATTAACAAATCGTCTATTCCTGTCATATCTACGAAGTACTCCAGAGAGCAGTATTGATTCTCTTGCTGTAACTGATTTATGCATTATAATTCCCGGCAAACAAGAAAGCTGTCCTCCAGCTTATCGACAAGTCACAGAACCTATTTGCTTAAGCTCAGTAAGTTTCCTAGTACAAAATTGAATTGTAATATGCCCATTTCTCTCTGATTAGTTATTTAAAGAATAAATTTAAAAGCCGACCTAATAATATTTTATTCCGGCCCTGACATTTTGAGAATCGCCCTGTTTCACATTTCTCGCGCATGGGACTTATTATTGCATTGTAGCAGTGTATAAACGTATCACGAGACTTCTAATTTGTGCACTGTAAAATATTCAGTGAACAACATTGCTGTTATTTTGTAACTTGCATATTCAGTAAAGTCCCATTGATCATTGGTGTCATCATCATTTATCAACATAGGACCAGGCATTACTGCGCAACAGTCTAAGTTGCCACAGCTTATATCGGTACATTTAGTAAAAACGCAGTGAGGCGCAAGATGAGAAAAAAAACTCAGTCAAAAGAAATATAAAGTGCGCGAAGAAAGAAAGGAAGAATGAGAGAACGGTGAGATTTGATATAGCGTTAAGATGACAATAATGTGCGAGAGGGTACATCTGCTCCACTGACATCGGTTCTCAGCTTTGTGATCACCTAGAGTCTGCAACCACTGGGTCCTCCTGTCCCGCGGACCCCAACCGACCAGTCTGCATCTCCCCACATGGCTCAAACCAACAGTCAAACACTTCATACATTGATACCATGTATAAGTCTGGCCGCCTCGGGCCTTTTTCCAGCCTGAACCTACTTCGGCCAAAATTGTGTGACGAGGCAGGCGGCTACTAGGCATACGTAACACGTGTCCCAACCATCTCAGTCGATGAAGGTTTATAACCTCTATTCCCTAAAACTCTACACCTGAATTCTGCGTTACTCATATGGTGACACCACGGAATACGACCTATACTACGAAGATAACGGTAGTCAGACACCTCAGACCTCATGTCTTCCACCTTCGATGGTTATGTTTCACAGCCATAGAGTAGAGCAGAGCGGACTGTTTTTCGGTACACGTGACCCTTAATAGATAATCGGGTATCACGGCGGCGTCACAGGTGCCGTAAGGTGGCAAAAGCCAGCCGAGCATTTTGTATTCGTGCGGAGATTTCGTCGGCCACTTAGCCACTAGGGCTGATCCTACTTCCCAGGTAGGTGAAATGGTCGACACACCTAACTACTACACTCTCTATTAGTAGCACTTAGGTGGAGAGAAATGCAGCCCAAACATCCTTAAATTCACACTCAAAGTGTTCAAAAGACTCTACATTTTGTCAGCGTCTTCACCCAACAGGACTATGTCATCTGCATATTCTTGGTCTGACGAAAATTCTACTACGATTAGGTCAACGTCTGTGTTGTCAGGTGACGAGAGAGAGACCTCCATAAGAATATATATCATAAAATTGAATAATGGGGACAGTGGCCATCCTTGACGGACACCACTCGATGAGCATAGCTCCCTGGACATCTCACCATAGGCTCTAACACTCCCACAAGTATTCTAGTAGAGAGCCTTCAATAGATTGATATACTTACTCAGCACGCCTTTCAGTGAGAGACATTGCCATAAGATTTCCCTATCAAGGGAGTCGAATTCCCCCTTCAGGTTGAGAAATACTGCAATTGTCGGGCGTCGGTAAGCATGTCTATGTTCCAGAGCCTGGTGCAGTACGAATATTTGGTCGATACACCCTCGACAGGGTCTATAGCCTGCCTGGTTTCCTCGAGCTTGTTGTTTCCGAGCTCCACTCAGACGTCGAAGAATTTTAAAACCTAAGATCTTGGATACTATGTTTTCGTCAGGCTGGGTCCTCTGTGGTTATGACAAGAGGACTTCTCGCCCTTCTTGAAGACTGGGATAAGCAATGATTCAGAGCATTCAGAGCGGATCGTATTTGATTCCCATAAACTAGTTAACACTCCCGTTAATCTGACAAAGAGCACCTTACCACCATCCTTTGTATACCTCAGGAGTTAGTCAATCTGGTCCTGCTGCCTTTCCTTGTTTCAGGTTACCTACCGCTTTCTCGACTTCTGTTAGTCTAACTCAATGTTCCACTCAGGGTCCTACTGGACAGCGAGTAACACAATGGTGGCTAGAGGCCAGTTAAACTGTTCATCGAAGTGTTCTGCTTATCGTTCCAGTCGTCTCCTCTGCGAGTGAATCGCAGATCCCTCTTCCGCTATTTCCTCACTAACCGCAGTTGACCTTTACTCCCAGTCTCCTTAGTAAGTCTAAATGACTATCTGCTGTTACCAATCGCCGCTGCCTTTTCCATCTCTTTAGCCTTCGCTGCCCACCATTGTTCGCGGTCGTTGCGTAAACTTTTTCTCAATCTAATTTTAAGTTGTGCTCGCTCTTCATTTCACTCAGAGCCTGCAGGGATGCGTTCATGTGAATCCATTAGTTCGGAAGAAGCTGCTAATATCCACTGGCCATTTTTATCGACTCTTTCTAAGTCGGCTAGGGTCTTCAGCACTGCTTTTACAGTAGATTGAAGATGGCACCAAGCTTCTTCTGGATGAGTGGTAGTCTTTTGTTCCGATAACTGCCTAACCAACTTCTCACTGAACACGGCATTGGTGTTTCCGTTGTCCAGCAACACTCGTAGTGGTCTTGTTGCCAAATTTTTCCTACGTCGATTGAGGCGCAGGCATATACGCGCTCGAACCAACGCTTGTTTGCTGTGCAAACATGTACTCCAGAAGGAGCGGCAGTCTTCCACCGATCCTCTCCAGCGGTGACTGATAGCAATGTGGTCTGTCTGTGTCCATCGCTGAGTTGAGCTCGGTAGACGCCACAACAGACAGTGTCCTTTTTATGTCTGAAATTTGTGCTAGCTAAAAATAAGCAGTTATCTGAACACAGTTGTAGTGGGCGATCGCCGTTATCTGTTCGTTCAGCCAGGACTCTGAAAGTGCCACCTAAGTGCTTTTCTGCTTAAGTTAGTCTACCCACTTGTGCGTTGGAATCACCTGCAACAACCGCCACGTCCGAAGGTTTGGCTTTCGAGAGGAGGCCAGATAGTTTTCGGTAAAACTCGTCCTTCTCTTCATCCGAAGTGAAGTCAGTGGGTGCGTAAGCAGAGATTACAAAGACACAATGGCGAGTTTCGTTATTCATTTAAGTTTGCACTATACCTTTCAGCCGGATGGTGCAGAGGTGACCATCAAGTGGTATCCAGTCTTGTAGTGAGTTTTCTACTCTGGTGCTTAATGCTATACCTGCACCTGCAGGACTGCGAGAGCTGGCTATCGAATCTCCAGGAACTTGGAGGGTGAATTTCGCGGATTCACCAGATTGGTCAGGAGAGGTCAGGTGAATAAGCGTATTTGGATCCTGTATGCGTGTTTCACAAATACAGCACATATCCATGTTTCGAGTTGCTAGAGTCTTTGTCAATGAAGTGTGTTGGCCAATTTTATGGAGGGTGCGGAGATTGAAGGCTCAAATTTGTAATTTGTAGAGTGGTTTAAGGAGACCAGGGATGCTGTTCTGTGAACTTAGATCGTTGTCAAAGGCTGCAGAACTAGGAGAAAAAAGATGATGTAGTATCGTTAATTGAGAGACGTGAAGGAAGATTAGAATGTAATGAGGAGTTAGGTGGATAGCAGTCCGAGGAAACTTGAGTGCTGACAGTTGTGAGGGTGATTGAAATTTCCCAGCTGCCCACACCATGGAAGGCTATTTCTTCTTAAGGTACTTGAAAGAGATTTGTGAGACCGCATAGCCCATCGGATATGTGCTTGAGGCCTGTCACATGCAGCTTTTTGTGTATTTTTGTTTTGGGGCCGAATGGTCGAAAACAGACGACAAATGAACCAAAAGCGCTGACCCGGCACACCATGGGGTATGGTGAAGTGTGTTATTTTTGGGCTCGACTGTTTTCTAACCCCCCCCCCCTTCCACTGGGAAGGCAGCATCAGTGTGACACTGCTGGTCATCGAAGGGAAACATCTTAGTGCTGTCACACTCCACCTAGCTAACAGCAGTACGACTTCGCCCTCAGACCCCCATCATAGTGTAGTAATTTACACCACCACAGTCATTGGTGTAGGCAATCGAGTTTTAACAAATGTATTACGGTTTCGAACCCCACTCCGCGTGTGGTGTTGGAACCATGTAGTATCAATGGTGCCTACATAATAGCTGTGACTCATTGCTTACTTAGTCGTTTGGACGTATCTTCTGATTTGAGTCACATTATTTATATTCATTATTTATAATATCCTTTCTCAATTTGATGGTGAACGTTCAACAATCGCCTGCATATTTGTGTATTACTGTATGCTGTTCTTTCTGCTTCCTAAACTATTATAAACAGTAAAATGCATGGGTCTAGAACCTTGCACAGTTGCCACACTACATACTAGCACACATCAGTTAATCAGAAAATGAATCATTTTGAGTAGAAGTGGATAAAGTGTGAGAGAAGGAGTAAATGAACGTCAGTTAAAATGGCTGAATTTCCGATGGTAAAGAGTGGACTCATCGACATTGTAATCAATTCTGAATCTTGTTGCTAAGGCTCCCCAACCATTGATTTTCAGTCTTGGAGATTGCATCATAGACCAACAGTGATATTGCGTGCTTTGGTATGGGACTGAGGCTCAGTAGTCCAGCTACCAATGTGTGGGAAGCCAGATGGTATCATCAGTCCTCGTGCAATAGGTGTGGCTCATTGCCTAATGCTTGGATGTACACAATGGTTGTTGAGTGGATTTCGCTTTCGATGTCTTGATATGATCACTCCCGGTCGCTTTAGCTGACATTGAGTGTTGGGATAGACGATGACTTGATACCCACACCACTTAACCACCTCAGTCAATGTTTTACAGACAAATCAACTGATTTACCTTTGGTACCCGAAACTACATGCAGCCTCTAAATACCCACACAGCGGCTGCATAATACGCAGCCAAAGCTACTGCAGAACGCACGGTCACAAACCTATGGTCGTTCTATCTCATCCACCTTCGATGACCACGTCTCAGCTGGTGAGTCTGAAAGTACCCGAAGAATGAATCATAAATTCATCCTACTAGCCAGGCGAGGTTGAGTTTATAAACTGAGCTGGGTTCTGTGTGCACGTATTAAAAACACATAACATATATATAACCCGAAACACCACAGTCATTTGAAGTTTAACTAGAGCTTGGGAACAAGATAGCGGAAAAAATCAGACAAGCTTTTTGCATTGGTGAGGAAAAATTACTTTCGAAAAATCCTAGAATAATCGTTTCTGTCGATCCAGAGATGCTAGCAAGTCGTACCTAACAACTGGAGCTGTGACTCATTGGTCTAAGGAGATGACTCTCAGGCTAAGGGTCGCGGGTTCGAACCCCACCCTACCTACCTGGGATCGGGCAGCAGACATACAGACTAAATCGACGTAGAACCTCGCACACAAGGTCATCGGTACAACTTGCCACATTTCAAAGTAGTACACAAAAAACAAACGGAAAGAAGAAGGGTGATATCAAAGTAGACAAGATTCTGTGAGAGAATAAGGGGATTTGAAGATAACAGTTAGCACAAGTATTCAAGCTTCAGAAGATGTCAGAGTGAATACATTTGCACTGTTGTGACCACTTTCTAGCTATGTCACCAAGAGTCCCCAACCATTGATTCCTTTTGTCTCGGAGACCCCAACCAGACAGTTTGCATCTCCCCACATGGCTAGGGCTAACACTCACAGACTTCATAGGTTGATGCCACATCTTGATCTGGCCACCCTGAACCCTCTTCCAGTCTAATCCAGCTTCCCCTAGCATGGTACGTTGAGGTAAATGGTAGCTCGGGATTCACAGTACATGTCCAAGCCATCTCAGTCGACTAAGGTTCACGACGTCACCACTCGACTTACCTTTCTTGTCTAGTTTCCTTCTTCAGACCTCAAAATCGCTCACACGGTAATTCCACGAAATGTGAGCACTGCTACTAAAGACACCTGTGATCAAAACCCTGCGAGCGTTTTATGTCGTCTGCTTTTAACGGCCATGTCTCGCAGCCGTATAGCAGGGTAGGATGAACTGCAGCACAGAACACTCGTCTTTTAGGAGGCAGTTGGATATCTCGTCACTGAGCAGCACAGACGATGAAGTTTGGCAAATGCAAACGGGTCTTCTGCATCCCTGCTGAGGTTTCTTCAGCAACCACCCCGTTCGTTATGATGCGTCTCTCCCAGTAAGTGGTAGTCGATACATTCCATCACCATTTCCCATCATTAAAGTGGTACTAGTTTCAGACCAATCCTAAAGCATCATCTTACATTTGACAGGTGTAAAATGCCGTACTAATGTCATCAATGGACCTCACACCACGGGTGTGGCTCACTACTTACTGCACTTATGTGAAAAAGATCGCTGAGTACATTTCGATTTTCTTCCTTCCTAGCAAGTACTTAATACTAATTATTGCTGTGTGCTCAAAATTGCACAGTCCTGTATGAAGTTAAAGAAAGTCATCTGAAATAGTAGCAACTAATGACTGCTTTCAAAGATGTCCAGTACCGCAGTTTTGTCTAGATATGTTGTAGGTGCACTGGTGAATGTGACCTTACCTCTGACTACATATAGATTGATTTACTGTCAGGAGGGAAAGCTGCAAATGACATGATCTTGTCAGTTGAGAACACTGTCTAAATGCGGACTTTTCTGTGTATTTTGTGAGTAAAAAAACCTGTTAATAAATTCAAGTAATAATTTAGGATCATTGCATTCACAATGTCACTTGATTAAATATTACAGTTACATAAAGCCTAACTGGAGACCAACTTTTAAAATATTTTCCAACAAATCAACTATTGCGCAATTCGTATTTACGAATTGTGAATAAAGTTCAAAATTTGTTTGTTTAACATTCAACATTTTTGCAAAATAACTGAAGATTATATTCAAATGCATACATGCCAACAACCTACTAAAGGATGAATACTAATTTAAGCTTTATATGAAGAAAACCTATTTAAGTGTAGAAGATCCAGCACCTAGTATATTGAAATATGACAGTCTAATACTGTCTTACTAAGATCTTGTAGTCGTGTTTCCTTTCTGATTAAATGAGTTCATGCGCCGAGGTTTAAGAACACTTTTGGGTATATTACCTCACAAGAGGACTCTATATAGCGTACCATTTTTAAAGGTTTGATTGAGTGTTTTGTCCTCTCGAAAGCCAATTTGTAAAGCAGAACCGTTTTTCATTGGCTCAGGCACTCACGACGTGACTAATGCGTCCCAGACCCCAACTTCATCTACTTCGAACTAGGTAATACAGTCAGACTAACAGACAAACCAACGTAGAATCTGTCTCACTTCATATCAGTGTGCAAAAAAGAAGTGGATACTAAAAGATTGATCTCAAGGTACATAAAAGTGTATCCGAGTTTTGAGAATAAATAGGTGGCAGCTAATAAATACATTCGAGATTTCAAAGATGACAAGGATTGTATGAGTGTGCTCTCTTGTGGCCGATTTCCAAGTATGTCACCAAGACTTTGGCCACTGATTCCTATCATCTTGAGGACCTCAGCCAAACAGTCTGCATCTCCCTGCAGTGCTCAGACCAAGAGTCAAGAACTTAGCTTAGCATTGCATGTCGAGGTGAGCGATGGCTCGACATGTTCAACACATAACTAATCGACCAGTTTGGAGGGCTGAGTTGCATTTTGAGAAAAATGTACAAAATATATAGACTAAGGTTAATCCATCATGTAAACAAAAAATGAAATGACTTTGATCATAAGTCGTTCACTTTACAGTCGTTAAAATTAGATTTTTCTGAGAGCATTAAATAACTCGACAGAGTTTGACCTCAACTCTCAATTCCAATGCTCTTTGTTTATGGTTGTGGCACAAAAACAAAACGCATTAGTATAGCTAGTACCCAGCAGAAAGAAATATTTTAATCAATAGTGTATATATGCGATTACTAAAGCAAGATCATTTATCAACCTCTGACTTATAAACGGGAATTTCGCTTAAATAAACTAGCTTTTATTGCTGTGACACGTGGGTTTCAAACAAGGAGTTCAAACTTTCAAACTTTGCATTATTTTACCACTAGTTTTCGCTTAGCTGCGAAATCTAAGTGAATGTAACTCAGAAACTGTTTTCAGTTTCACACGCTAGGGTATGAGCCAAACCTTTTGAGTTTTAGTCAGTTTTAACATTTGACTGCAGGCACGTCGGCAGGTGAGGTAGGGTTGGAAGCAGTCACTCAATAACTGAAAGTCGAATAACTGGTGAGTCACAGTTGGACTTGGAAGAAATGAGTGGATGTGTACAGAATTCTGATTTTGAAAATATTTCAAATGTATGGGAATTTCCAAATAAAATCTAGGTTGTATAAATTTTTTTTCTAAATCGATGGCCTTAGGTTTACCTTTTCAATGTTTTACCAACTGAACTGAGCCACTTTCTAAGCTGCCACTTCACTTTTGGCTATCTCATGTCATGCAACTTCGTTTTGTCGTGTTATCTGCCCAACCAAACCTTGTCCAGTGCGAACTGAGCTGAATTCGGCGGTGCGTACGATTTTTATGTCGTTGATCAAATATGTTTTGTCTTGTTTAATATGCAGTAATCACTTTTTGGTTCTTGTATTAAGTTGTTTCGCGAAGGTCAGTGACCATAACCTGACTGTCCAGATCATTTCATGTAAAGCTGTATGAGTACGTGACATAATGAGTGATTGTGTTTTTTAGTCACTCGATTTAGGAAAAATTAAATTGAAGTCAATTGAGCTAATTTTGATTGAGTGTAAAAGGAGCTGTTACCTCACTACCTGTCACACAACAGATGTAGCACAGCACCTATTGTATGAATATGCACAAAGTTGCTGAGTGGATTTTGATTCCATTTTATTTTCATGATACACTTCTCATTTGTCCATTACCCTCTATTTTCGTCTTTAGTTCAGACTAAAAGCATATATATGCTATCGAAAATCACTTGTAAAGCAATTCATAATCTCCTATGAACCTGAAGTACTATACTGGTATCGAGTTCCAAACACAGCTGATTATGATTTCACAAATCTGGATAAACAACTCGATGAAACTTCAAACTCTTGTTTGCCTACCTTCAATAAATCTGACCAATGTGATAAGGTTAATCAAGAAGCTGTAATAACCGGCGAGGATGCAGTTCATTCAGATTCATCCCCAGGTTAGTTATGCTAGTTACTGGTAAACTGGATGTAATACTGTAAATGCTGATCTATCTAGTAACTATTAGGCTGGTGGATTATATCGACCTGTGGCTCATCGAATCGAGTGTCACTAGATCATTGGTTGAACCTCGTCCCACCTGTCAAGATTTAAACAGCTGTGTAGAATAATTAGCTCTCACGAATCATATCTATTTCATGTTCTGATGTGAAAATCTCTAGTTGATCTCTGAATTACTTAACTGCTTACATAACCTCATGATTATCAGTCAAATATTACTCCCATCCACAGTCCTGTAGTGACATTAACTTTAACATGACTTACAACTCTGAAAACCCTATGCCCAGTTATTTTTTATTTATTATATTTCGGGGTTCTTGATAATGTTAAATATTGTTTCATTTAATTATTCGCAAATGAAATGTTTCATTTCTATATGAATTACTGTGATTTATTCTTGAGTTTTTCTGTTGATTATGGAATGGAATGGAGTTATTTTATTATTATTTGTCCTTTGGTTTCCTACTGGAACATAGGGCTTCAGTAGCATTTCGCCATTTCACTTTGTTCTCTGCAGTCTTTTCAACCTGGCTCCATGACCGCCCATAAGGTTTCATTTCTTCCTCACACCATCTCCATGTCACCCTCGGACGCCCAACTCATCGTTTCTCCTTTGGGTTTCACTCGAGGGACTGGCACGTGATGTCCCCGAATGGTCTTCTCAGTGTATGCCCAGTCCTAAGCAAATCACAAAAATACATTGTCTGATGTTAAATGGTTGAATCGGCAGGCAATCTTAGATCAAGGTTTTATACCTCGTGTTTATCATCAACCAATGGATTCTGTTACCTCAGAGAAGAACCACTGCAGCAGCAATGACAGGCGAAATCAGCGTAGAACTTCGCACACAAGTCTATCACCTCAAGTTGCCACACTTCGCAGTAATATACAAGGAATAAATGGATAAAAAATAGTGATATCAAAGTAAGAAATTTACATATAAAGGCTATCACAAATATTCACGCTTTAGATGATGTCATGCTGAATACATCTGCACTACTGTAATCGATTTTCAACTATCTCACAAAGAGTCCTCAACCACTGATTCCTTTCGTCTCGAGGACCCCAGCCAGGCAGTCTGCATCTCCCCGCACAACTCGCACTAACAGTAAGAGACTCCATGGACTGTTGCCACGTCTTGACTTGACCACTCTAAATTTTCTTCTAACCTACTTCAACTCTTAACATTACATATCGAGCCAGGTGGTGACTGAGGATGCGTGATAGGCATGCAAGCCACCTCAGTCGCTGATGGCTCACAACTGCAATACTATAAAGTTTGCTCATACGAAGTTCTAGTCTGGAATGAATTTATTTTAAGTTGCGTTAAATCATCTTGAAAAGTGTTGTAAGGTATAAATAATGGGCAAGATGACTTCCTATTTAACCATCTGTTGGAAAAAAGTTCATATCTTTCAACCACTGATTATTTACTGAAGTATATGTCAGAATGAACAAGTCTAATTGTGTTTTATGACAAGATTTTCTCGTTTTGGTACTACACACTGATACCTGATTACACTCTAACAATCACATACATTTTGACTGTGCAGACAGATATAACAATGCGAAAGCTTGAGAAAGAATACTTCAGGCACAATTCGCAAAATCATACAGATCAAAAACAGAAATGGGAGGATATTGTAATAGGCTACAGAAAGGAAATGAGTAAACTGGAATCATCAATAATTATAAGGTATTTGAAAATTTGGGGAGGTTAAATAAAAAAAAAACTTCTAGGTCGTTATAATCGTTTCAGAAGGCCGACGCTGACGACTCTCAACTGTTCATTTCCTACATTTCGAAGAAACTTACACTGTCATCGCCCTACTAGACTAAGCATCAATGATTTCACGGCTAATGGTATTGTTTTACGGCTGTATCTAGGTTTAAAAAAAATTTAATCTTAGGTCAGCTAACATAGACTATCGGGAAAGATTGTGGCTGGTCATGCGTGATCTTTCTTTGAATGGCGCATGTTCTCATCGTTATCTAGTAGTTTGCTTTTCTCATTTAAAACATGCTTGTAACCTCAGCGTTGATCACTTAACGGTTGTGCCAACGGAATATTGTCCAGTACACTCACTCCTTTATATATAACGCCATATCATATCATTGCCGTCAGCAGAATACAATGGAAAGCTTTAAAGCCTGTTCGACTACCATATCTCGTGTTCAGTAATGCGAAAATTCCCATTTAGACATTTAGTAAAACAAACAATGTAAGCGAAGAAATATTTCTTTTCAATTAGTTTCCCATCAATGGCTCTACACTAATAGAGCATTTTCAAACGTAAAATTACATACCAATCTAGTGGTGAGAGTTGTTCAATGAAAGGTTATCAATCTCAAAGTATCAAGAAGGTGATAATTGATCAGGTAATTAAGACAGTTAACTAAAGCAAAGATTAATTATCGTAGAAAGATTTTGTGAACAGGTTCTTACATAATTGATATTTCGTGTAATGGTAACTAGAGGGCGAAAATGAACTGTTGCGTAAAATGGTAAATTGTTGACGGTAATTAGAGACAGTAGGGGGAGAGGAAGATGGTTAAGTCCGTAATAATAATGGTAATAATAATAATGGAGCTATTAAAATATTAGTTATAGTGAATTGTGTGGTGGATGAAATGAAGAGTCTTGTTGTAATAAATGAGCTATACAGATGGCCAAGGCAAAGAAAGAGGCTGTACGAATCTCTTCTGAACACACAGACTTGGCTTGTGTAGGTGGATTCCTATGGCTTCTGCTGTATGTAAAAGACGGACTCGTAGAGGATGGGTGAGGTGAGAAGGAATGTGATAAATAACTTTAAAGGCATTATGAATGTTAACTCGGTGGCCGGTGTCAATCAGATGAGAGAGTATTGAGCTTCGTGTCAATCTGGTTTCCCCCTTACTTAGCCATGAAGGATGATGCTCGGCGATTCGACGACGGACTTGCCTAACTGTACGTCCAATGTAACTAGCTCCACAGGAGCAGTTGAACTGGTAAATGCACATAGAAGAGGAGAAGTCAGGGAGTCTGTCTTTAGTTCGTGTGGTCATCATCGGCCGGCTGTAGAAAACACAACATAACTTGGCGGCATTAAATGATCTTCTTATGGCATTTCTTAAGCGTTGTGTCACAATTTCGCTGATGATGTCACCTCGAAATTGTAGTCTTAGGAACAATGGTTTCTTGGAGACTGTAGGCATTCTGGTTTTCATATTGGATGTGTTCATATTTTTAGCCAGGAACGTTTCTGGATATCCATTACTACTGAGTAGATCGTGGATAATTTGAAGCTCTTCGTCAAAAGTATCATCTGAACAGATGAGTCTCGCCCGATGGACCAAACATTTAACGAGATTTCGTTTATATTGCAAGGGGACGAAACTCAAGAAGTGGGTGTATTGACCTGTTGACGTTGGTTTCCGATACACACTTCTTTTTAGTTCCATCCACCTTCCTTGTCAATCGGACATCTAAGGTGATGCTGTCGTCACTTTCTGTTTCAATAGTGAAGGTTATTGCTGGATGGACGCCATTGAATTCATCCAGTATGATCCTTGCATCGTCCTTGTTATTCACAATCAAGAATGTATCATCTACATAACGGCAATAAAATTCTAACCCGCTTATGATGCTTTCCAGAGGGCCATTTTCTAATTTTGCTAAGAAGAAATCCGCTAAGATTGGGCCTAGTGGTGACCCCATAGCGACACCGTCTGACTGTCTATAGAATTCCTTATTGAAGAGAAAGTGTACATTCATTGTACATCGTAAGAGAAGCTCTTTCAAGGTGGATGCCGTAATTCCAATTTCTATGTTTCTCTTTTCCAGTTCGCTACATATGAAGTCCACTGTTTCCATCAGAGGGACATTTGTGAATAGGGATGATACGTCTAAGGATATCATAGACTTATTATTCACATTCAAATCTCTTATTTTATCGATAAAGTGAAAAGTATCTTTGATGCTATGCTTTACAACCTCCTTATGCAGTGGTTTCAAGAGTTGTACTAATCTTATCACCTTCTTGATACTTTGAGATTGATAACCTTTTATTGAACAACTCTCACCACTAGATTGGTATGTAATTTTACGTTTGAAAATGCTCTATTAGTGTAGAGCCATTGATGGCAAACTAATTGAAAAGAAATATTTCTTCTCTCACATTGTTTGTTTTACTTAATATTTCGTGTTGTCATCTAGGATGAATAAAATTGTATCATCCGGTCATTTTGTGTTTGTGTGTGTATGTGTGGGAAAATTAAAGGTATGTCGTCACCTTAACCTTAGATGATGACTTCGCATGAGCGTTGATAGGATCATACAAGCTCCCATCGAAAAATTTCAGTACACGGATATACTTCCCTGTATTCCTGTCGCTGTCGGGTACCCAAGAGTCTGTAATGAGTTCTTTATGTTCATGTTAATGAACTGGACTATAGCCTAACAGTATACACTTTGATGATATTTCATACCTAATTCGACTGATATTTTTTAACGAAACCAAGTGTGTAATGTCATATATTATCCAATTAAACTTGAAAAAATATGCAGTCTCTGATATTTCTAACAATCTCGAAATAGTTTTTTCCTAATCAGTGATTGCGATCACGAGAGATGGTCAGCGTCGATACCTGTTTTATTATTGTGTAAAAGGTACTTACAACTTTGATATCCTACTGTATGATGAATTCAACTAAAAACAATATTCTTGTCAACCATTAACTAATATAATCGATAGATTTCAAGAAATTGTACAACATTTCATCATTTTCTTCAGCCTAAAGTATGGATTAAATGAAGGTAGGAAATCTTGTCCTTTAACCCTGATATCTTTCTTTGAAAATACATTCTCTCTGATTAGTACAACCACTGTCAGTGATTAATTTTTTAAAGTTGAACTGATAATATCACCTAAAAAAGGTCTGAATAGCTTTCTGTTTGTCAATTTAAATTAGAGAAAATAATTAGCATCATCAAGTGGCTACCACAAGAAACTCTATCATGAACAGTGATAATCACTTTTTAATTTGAACTGACTCTGATATCTTTCTCCTGTTTAGTAGTTAAGTGAAAAATAATAGTAATACGATCGATATTAGATGCTTATAAGGATTCTTAGTCCCACAAAATCATTTATTACCAAATCAGTGTTATGCAACAGAAGACGAAGGGTTCATCTTACCTCAAAAGTATATATTATTCGTTTGATAAAAAGTACTGTTGATATAGATATTTACAAGCTAGGGGTTGGCATATTTTTATGACAAGCTTGTAGGCTTTTTCTATTTCTATGATTGGTTGTTTGCACTGATAACTTGAGTACAAAGTCACTGAAATACAAAATGAAACAACATTGAAAACGAAGTGATAGAAAAGACTTGAAGCTTAGGACAAGGGTTATAATTGCTTGGTGTTCTCTGAGCCTTTTTATGTAGGTGTTGATTTTTTATTTTCACTATAGTTCTCTCCAGGATGATGCGGTTCAATATTTTGCTTGCTTTGGGTGGACAGCAGCATGATTCCGCGCCATTTCTTGCAGACTTAGGTCTCCCTTCCCGCAATCAGCAGGTACCTGTCCTTCCTTTCAAACTTTCTGCAGTAGTGGCGGGAGCATGTCCGCTGTTGTCTCTGCGCCTGTTTCCAGTTCTTCTGGCGAAATTACATCTGGTCCTGCTGTTTTCCCGAATTTCAGCAGCTTTATGGCGTTCAGGACTTCACTTCTGCTTTTGTCGGAGGGCCTGTGTTGACTGATAGTTCTGCGGTTTATGGTGATATTTCTGGAAGAGTTGCAGGTGGTGGTTGATTCAAGAGCTTTTCGAAGTGACCAGCCCATCGCTCTCTTTGTTTCTACTCTTTGGTAACTATGTTTCCTTCACTATCTTTCATTGGTTTCGCCTGCGTTGATCTCTTCCCAGGTTTCTTCAGGGATGTTGCTCAATGTCTCCCATTTTGTTGTGATGGCTGCCTGACGTGAAGATGTCCTTTCTAGTTTCGTCCTTCAGTTTCTATTCTGGGTGTTGAACTTGAACTGTGGCCTATCATCACCAACTTCTCTGAAGGCTTTCAACTTGATTTTGAAGGTTCCTTGCACTGGCTGGTGAGTGGTGTGAACCTACACATCTGTTCCTCTTCTTGATCTTGTGTCCTGTTCCTGTTGTTGCTCAGCACGTAATCCTAAGGTTTTCAACGTAGACTTCGAAGAAGTGTAGAAATCAAGTTTGTCGGCATTTCCAGTGTTGTAGTTCAGTTCCATTCTGAAGCAAAATATTAAAGCTCAGAGAACACCAGACCAACATCAATTTGGAAAAAACTCATCAGCCGACTAGCATCCATTAGGTAGTCACTACAAAATTCAGGTAAATAGTATCTATTCAAAGTCCCAAATAGGACGAAACGCGCATCCTGGATTTCACTGCTAGCCACCATCCATCTTTATTATTATTTATTACTTGTCCCTTGGGTTCCTAATGGAACATAGGGCTTCAGTAGCACGTCTCCAGTGAACTCTGTTCTCTGCAGTCTTTTCAACTTGGTTCCACGACAGCCCAGAAGCTCTCATTTCATCCTCACACGATCTCCTCCATGTCACCCTCGACACCGACACCCAACTCGTCGCTTCCCATCTGGGTTCCACTCGAGGGCCTGACGTGTGGTGTCCCCAGTCGGCCTTCTCAGTGTATGCCCAATCCATCTCCACTTCCTTCCAGTGCATATTTGTTGAGCGATAGGTTCTTGGTGGGTTCGTTGCCAGACCAGAGTTCCTTGTTGCTTATTCTTTCTGGCCATCTGATCTCCTTGTTCAGTAGCGAGCCAGTGTAGGCAGTTGTTGATGAATGTCTGTAGATTGTTGGAAATCCTCTTCATAACCCGCCAAGTCTGTGAACCACACAGAAGCACTGACTTGACGTTGGTGTTGAAAATCCGGATATTGTTCCGCATGCTGAGTGTAGTGCAGAAGATCTCCACACTGGCTTATGAACGCCTGTCTTGCTTTTCCGATCCTGGCTGGCTTTGACATCCTCGTCTGTGCCACCTGTAGTTGAGACAGTGCTGCCTAGATAGGTGAAGGAGGCTGCTTCCTTTAAGTTTCCTCCGTTGATGGTGATTGGAGTTTGGTGTTGTTGGTTCGGTATTTTCACCACCTATGTTTTCTCTATATTCACTTGAAGTCCCGTTTTCGCTGCCCTGTCTCTTCCGCCAACTTGTTAGTTTTTCTCCTGTAGATCTTCCAGTTTGTGTGACATTAGACACAAGTCGTCATCGGCGGAATCCATGTCTTCTAGGTTCTTTTCCGCTGTCCAGCTGACGTATCCCCCTCTTCTCGCTCCTCACAGTTTGTTGCATAATCCAGTCGACCACAATCAGGAATATCATGGGTGATAGTAGGCAGCCTTGTTTTACTCCTGTCTTCACTTCAAAAGTCTATCCATCATTGCTACAACTAAAAAACAACAACAGGTAATATCGAGGCATCCGCACAGCAGCCCATATACCAATAGAGACCGATCAATTCAGTCCAATCAACGACAATATAATACAACCAATAATATGAAGAGTTTTGTTCCGTTTCATGTTTTTTCAACTTCCGGTTGAAGTTATTACTCTCACAATTCTTTTCTTTTTGCAGATTTGTTATCCAGCTGAAATTTTCAAACTAATCACACTTTCTTTGTTCTTTAATTTTTGTTAAGAAAATGCACCAGCGACAACACAATTTCCAATGGCTCCACTAGATCCAGATATATTTCAAGTGGCAAACTTTTGTCTCCCATGGGGTGCATCTATTGAATCATGGTCTGTTCATCAAGATCCACCAGAAGTGAATTCTTTCACGTTTATGCTTACGAATGAGTCCTACGAACAGGTTTGTTAAGTATATTTTAACTATTAAACTGTTCACTATTTCGATTATTATTGTTATCAGAACAATTTTTATTTGTTTCAATTGTCGTATCACATGATTTCGTTAAATATTGAATTCAGCACTTTCAAAATCAATGTTCATCCGGTTAAATTAGTATGACTTTGGCACATAGCCATTAGTATGTAGTAAAGTCTAAGCGTGACTTTTAGAGTCACCTTAGCAAATACTGAAGTCAACAGTTAGGTTTCTTTTCTTAAGATAAAATTGTGATTTTCGTATAGAATAAAGAAACTCGAATAATTGATTCAGTGGGTTCTAAGATGACCTTCGGAGCCGCTTGAAAGTTTAAATACTGTTCTTCTATGTTTTTTTTTGGAGAGGTGGGTGAATAGGGCAAGGGTGATGCGAGACTGAGCAGTTATTAGTTAACTTGCTGTAGGTATTCAAAGAGTTGCGATTCATTGGCTTGGGCTATCGACTTTCAACCGGTGAGCCATCGGCTCAAACCCCCCACTCCGCCGTCACGGAATAAGTGTGACTCGTTGCCTGCTGCACTAATGTGGACTACATTCCAATTTTTTTCGACTCGAGTTTTCACTGAATGATGATTCGAAACAAGGTAAGGGCTGACTGACTGACGTTAATTTTTACCTATATAGAATCTTCATTTCCCCTCACATAATTTGACTGTTGGTTTTTAAAATTTATTCAACTGCTCAGTGATACACATAGACTAGTATAAGTACGTATCGTCCCAGGTTACTATAATTAGCACGGATAGATTGGTCAACAAGATGGAATGAAAATGATCACACCGTTTGTGGGAAACCGTAAGTTAAGGATTTACGAGCTGATGAGATAAAATATGATATAGATGGAGAACCAATATGAATTTATGATAGATTTTCGCCCATGGTTATTGATTCCTTCCATCTCAGAGAGCTCTCATCCAGCAGCCTACACTTATGTAAACATCTCAGAACGTTTACAAAAGTTTTAGGTGTAGATAGTGATTCAGTATGCATAACACATGACTCAGTTACTTCAGTTGATGGTAATTCACAACCTCGCCAACTAACTTTCCTTCTTTACCTACTATCCTACCTTAAATATCGCTCATATTCTGGTCCCATCACATGTAAACGATACTGTGAAAAACCTTAAATCCCCCACCCTCACTAACCATGTTTCACAGTCAGATAAAAGGACTGAAATCATTGTTTTGGAGTACATTTAACGCTTAGTAAGTATTCAGATATCTCACGGTTACCAAAAGTGAAGTAATGTAGCAAACGCCAGTCGAGCTTTCTGAATCCGTGCCCAAATTTCACTTACCATCAACTCTCATCATGGTTGGTCCCACGTTTCTCCCCATTATCCAGTAGATAGTCAATCTAAACTAGTTTCAAAGTAACAGTATAGATGACATCAAAGAGGCACACTAATTAGTCACTAAGAAATTCGATATTATATCGTTTTGCATAAACTACTCATGGTCGATGATTCACATACATCCCCTGTGTAAAGTTGAAACTAACAAAAGCAACAAAAGTAGTTAGAAACTACAATTTAATTGTGTGATGATTTGCTTCAATCACAACTCATGGGTGTATACACGTGATGCGAAATACAAAATCTCACAATACAGGGTGTTTGAACTAAAGTGGTGAGTCCAAGCTGTAGTTAACTGTTTGAATGGGTAAGCAAAGATCTATTTGGCCCATTATTTCTGTTACTTCGATACTGATATGCACTTGTAGATCGACGTCATTTTGAAGCATACTTGGAGTAGTTTCCTTCTGAAGCTTACGATATATTGATCTAGAAAGGGCTGTGATATCGAAGGCGATATCTTCGACTTTGCTTAAGAATTTAGTTGGTTTATTTATTAACAATATAGCTCGTGTTTTTTCACTAAATATTTCGATAAGTTGTGTAGTACTAGTGTTCATGCAAGTGAAACAATTAAGTCATACATAGGTATATCTGATATTGCTTGTATTAACCGGTCGTTGTTTGAACCGAATTAATCGGTCCGTGTTGGCGCAGATACCTCGACATTGGCTTTATTTTCAATTTCGATATTATTGATGGATGGTGGATAATGCTCTGACGTTTGAAAGGATCGGTCCCCGGGTTCCAGTCTTAGTGGGAACATCTTAGTGGAATAATATTGCTCACTAGGAGGTAGGCATATCCAACTAACGATTGAGCCCTAAACAGAATGAAACACGCGTCCTGAATTTTACTGGTAGCCACTGTCTATCTACCTACCTATCTACCCCAGGAGTTCATATGCCAACAGTAGTCGATCAATCCGGTCCAATCGACGATGCGATAATACAAGCAACATCATGCAAACTATACTCGTCTCATAAGAAGTGGCTGTCGTGACTCAGTGCCCTAGTGAATAACGCTCTGCAGTTTGGAGCGATCGGTCCCGGGTTCGAATCCTAGTGAGAACATTATTGTTCACCAGGAGGTAGGTACATCCAACTGATGAGTCTGGAATAGGATGAAACGCACGTCAAGCTGGATTCCATTGCTAGCCACTATCCATATCAAAAAAGGTTCATCAGATTTATGGGTTTTTGGTCTCATCCTTGTGTTTGCGAGGTTCTACGTTGATTTTGTCTATCTGTCTATTAGAATTACAATTTTAATTTTGCCTTCAGATACCTCATATTTATAATTCTGGTGTCAGGTAATCTCCTCTGAATCTCCCCGGTTTAATTATGCTTGTTTAGAAGTTTATTTCATTGTTTTAAGTCAAATGACAAATATTTCATTTGAAACTTGCTAATCCTTATGTATTCATTCTTTTTTTTCTGTCATATTTCTTATTTTGTAGCTTTATGGTGTTGCGCTTACATTTTATGAACCGTATGATATAAGGCAATTGAATCTTCATAAATGTTACTGTTTAGGTGTAGATCCAGAATTAATACCTTCTGAGTCTAATAAAAATTTAATAAATCATGACTATGATCCAATTGAAGAGGATATAATTGCTAAACGTCAACGTCATTTTATGTCATCACGTGTTGGTGATCGTGTGATCGGTGTAACAAAAACACTTTGTTTACTATCTCGTTGGTCATTTACCCTACCATTCTCTAATTTCTTGGGATTTTTATATAGTCGATGTTTATTGCCAAAAGAACTAAATTACATACCATTTGAAAGGTGAGAAAATTTGAATTTATCACTCTATTAAAATAAAAATATGTTATTCTTTGTTGTTTATTCACTTCAGATGGTTTATGAACTTTTATTTTTATTTTTACCTTTTATTAATTTTATTGATTATGATGGGTTACTATTTGAGTTTGAGATCAGTAACCAACCCTTTCAGACTGATACAACTCCCCAAGTAAGTAAAGTGATTGACGCATGCCATCACTTCACCCCTTATCATTAAACTGGGAGTAGTCACACACCAGTCCTGAGGGATCATCTTACATTTGATAGGTGTGAGACCCATGCTAAACATACTCAGATTTCAGCTCAAGGCCATAAGAAGACCTTGGATTTTGTCAGCATCTTCGCCTAAAAATACTATACCACCTGCACATTTTACGTTAAGTATTTGCCTTCCTACGAGTAAGTCAGTGTCTGTAAAGTTTAAGATGTGTAAGATGATATCTATAAACATGTCTATAGCAAAATTAAACAGACGGTGGTAGCGTCCGTGACGAACGTCACTGGATTCTGTTTCTTCAGATGAAAATTCCATAAGACCTTGAATACCTGGGTAATTTGGATTAAGCAGCTGCGATTAGCGTCATATATTTGCTCAGTATCTCCTCCTAGATCGTCAATTTCACATTACCTCTTTGTTGACACAGTCAAATATCACCTTCAAGCCAAGAAATATGGGCTCTGCTGGAGTGGGATCGGTAAGCCTACTATCCAAAACACGTCAAAAGTGAATATCACCCCCGCACTCGTCCGAAAGCTGCCCAGTTGCGTCGAGTTGGTTGTCATCGGGCTCTGGTTACGTATCGTATAACTGTGAACCCTAAGATCTTAAATGCGATGTTAATCAAATTTATTTCTTAGTGGTTGTTACACGTAAACCTCTCTCCGCTCTTACATATTGGAATACTGAACGATATGTAGAGACTTGACCGGGCTAACTTTGATTTTCGTACACTAGCTAGTACCTCTGTTGCCGTATTTGACAATTTTTTCTCCAACCGATCCTTACCAGGGATGGTTTCACTTCCCGTCATCTTTTTACCGGCATGTTTAATAAGCGGAAATAATTCCGAAGTGCTATTTAATGTCGCAGACTCGTTCACACCACTATTGCAGGAGGTTTGAAAGGAAGGAGAGGTACCTGCCGATCGGTAGAAGGGCAACCTTATCAAACCCGTAAGAAGGTTGACCCAAGCCTTTGCAACAACTAGTGCGGTATTATTCTCCACTCCAAGCAAAATATTAAGCCGCATCATTCGAAAGAGACTAAACAATGCTCTGGATTCAAAATTACGACCGGAACAAGCAGGCTGGCTTCAGGAAGAACAAATCATGTGCGGATCAAATTACAACGCTATACATCATCATAGAACAAAGTATAAAATGGCAGTCAACTCTCTACCTCATTTTCACCGACCTTGATAAGGCGACCCTTGGAAAGCGTCGACCGAGAAGTAATTTGACAGGCAGCTGCTTCAACACTACGGTTTTGGTTCCACAAACGTTCATCAACCTTATTCAACAGCTATACGCTATATGTCAAGTGATTGACAATGGAAGGCTCAGTGATGCTTTTGAAGTGAGGACGGGAGTAAGACAAGACAAGGTTGCCTACTATCACGATGATCTTTGTGATTGTGGTCGACTGGAGTGGACTGGATCATACAGGAAACTGTGAGAAGATGTGCATACGCTGTTTGACTGGTGGAAATATCCTAGAGGATTTGGATATCTCGGATGATGATTTATGCTTAGTATCTAGTGTTGCACAAACTCGAAGATGTGCAGGCGAAAACTAACAAGTTGGCAGAAGAGATGAGGTGAGGCGAGTCAGCGAAGACGGGACTTCATTTGGGTGAACATAGATAAGACAGAAATGATGAAGATACTCAACCAACAGCAGCAACAAGAAACACCAATCAGCATCAGCGGGAGATATGCTAAGGAAGTTTTCTCTTCTACCTACCTACCTTAGTAGCATCGTTTCAACTACAGACAGCGGCACAGATGAGGATGTGAAGCGCAGGATAGATCGGAAAGACAGACGGAAAGGCCTTCATTAATCTGTGGAAATGTTCTGCACTGCACTGGACTCAGGATAAAGAAGAAGATACGGATTTTGGACACAAATTTAGTCGAGTAAGTCAGTGGTTTTAGGTGATGGTTGAGAGACTTGACTCGTTACGAAAAGCATTTTCAAGAAAGTACAGATATACTGAAGATCACATCAGATGGCCCGAAGGAATAAGTAAGGATGAACTCTGGCTGACAACTAAGCAACGAATCAAGAACCTATTGCCCAACAAATATGGAGGAGAAAATGGAGAGGGATTGTATTGGACATAGACTAGGGAGAGGGTTTGGGGACATCAGGAGCGAGGCTAGTCCATGGAGGGTGTAAGCCGAAGGGAAAAGGACTGGTTGGGCATCGGAGAGTGACATGGAGGAGATGGTGTGAGGAAGAAATGAAAGGTTATGGGTAGTGATGGAGCCAGGTGTAAGAGACTGTAGAGAAGAGAGTGAAATGGTGATGTGCTTCTGAATCCCTATGTTCCACTAGGAATCCAAAGGACACAATAGTTTAATATTGATACCTTTCCCCACCTCTCTTGCTTTGGCTACCCGTCACTATTGATAATTACTGTGAGTTCTCCTACTTACTTTCCATTTAGGCGTTGCTCTTACTCCTCTTGGTGGTCCTAGCCATTTCGAATGATTTATTTCGTATCAGTCATATTCGGAAATCTTAGGATTTAGGTTAGTAACTTTTTTTTCACAGCTGTTTCTACACCAGGGTTAAAATCATGCCGGGCTTCATCAACTTGAAAAGGACCTATTTACAAGATGAAATTGCTGCAGACTTGGTAATGTAGGACTACTTAACTACATGTGATCGCTGCAGCGCTAAGTATAGTGGTTATTACGCTAGACACAAGTAACTGATCACATGTTTGGCAAACAAATACAGAACCTATTGATTATCTGAGATTGCCGTGGTTTTGGCAGATTGGTATTGATACTGGGTGATGATTTTAGGGAAAATGAAAATTCCGACCGCGCCCGGATTCAAGCCAGTGACTACTAGGTTTCCGGCCTCGTAGCTCAATTGGTAGAGCGCCGGACCAGAAATTCGGTGCTCGCTGGTTCGAACCCCGCCGCGGTCGAGATTTTCACTTCGCCTTCAATCACCACCTGGTGACAAAACGAATCGCACTTTTTTTGCCTCAAGAAAGAAAAATACAGATACTTTCCTTTTTTTAGTAGAATCCTGAGTCTGTTTGATTTCAATACTTTGGTGTCTTAAAATTTGTAATCAATGTACATGACGCCACGTTTCTTGGTAAGTAGAAACAGTTTTGCGGGCTGTTAGTTCGTAGACCTCATTGAATGTATATGAGTGGAAATGATGCGTGCACAGCTTGAATCAATTGTGTATTTATAACGATAAAAATTAGTGTTACCACAGATGGTAATTTGCATATTATATTATTATGATTAAAGATGTCACCGTGTTTCAACATTCAGTTCCAAGTTATCTATATAGTAGATTGATTCATTCCAAAATACATAAGCTGTCCATTAATGTTATACTTACTGCTGTTCAAAATCATTATATTGCATAAGTTTGTGTACGTGGCTGCGAGTTACATTCAACGCCTGAGAAATAATGACGTTAAGAGTACTTCAGCAAAGAATACTGTATCACTGCGTACCATATCAAATAAACTAATCCAGTATAAAGTTACACTCTGTCACAGTATTCAAGTTACATACTGACACGTGATGTTGACTGATTGTGTAACAGTGACTGTAAATCGAAGACTTTTATCACTGAGTCCTACTTCTACAACTTGAACTAAAACTTGTGTGGCTGTAGTATTAGTGGTCAACAGATGGCTTCACCGCGTAACCAGATGGTACTACTATACCATCTATCCATCACTCCTGTGATATGAGTAAAGCCGGCATAAATCGCTTTCCGTTTCATGTGATGCATTGTAGGGTTCTTAAAATAAACACTTCTTGGATATCATGTGTCCAAAGCAAGAAAAATGAAAGCGATCTTGGTTCTTAGTCTGTTCTGATTATTACTGCTCACCTTACCATTGAATCCACGTCTTTGCGTACCAGCATTATTCTTCAGTTGATTGGTACTCAAGGATTTAGTATTTCACTCAATTTATTGTTAATTTTCATCTTGTTTAGTGGCAGTATTCTAACTGTTGACTTCGACGGTCTGATTGAACTGTCTTGATCTTTAGATTGAAAAACCATTTGTTGCTTTGCTATGTAACAATATAACGCAAGAATTCCTAAATCTATATTATTATTATCATTACTATTATTATTTTATCCAACCTTCTCTTATATTTTCAGATATTTGGGTCATTTTCTGTTTGAAATTCCTTTTCCTGATCGTGCAATTCCTAGTATATCGGTTGATGTGAGTTATGTGGACTTATGTATATGTAATGCTAACTTTCTGTTGTTACTATTTGTGTCGTTTTCTTCCTTTTATCCCTTTACTTCGTGAACTAATTCTAAAATACACATATTTTAACTGGCGCTAATAAGTTGTGCTATAATCTGTAAACATTTTCCGTGCTTTTGCACACCGTGTATCGTGTATCAGTGAGAATTTCATCTTTGTAAGAATACTCTCACCTTTAAGTTTTCCTTAAGTAGGCAATACAACTCGACTGTGTACAGTTTTATGTTGTAAGTGGAGTTGTGATTCATTGATTCAGGAAGTTGATTTTCAACAGTTGGTCACTGGTTCGAGCAGCCAGGTAGTAGTATCATTATGCCTCATACAGTAACTGTGGCTGTTTGCGTATCGCACGAATGTACACAAGGTTGCTGAGGGGATTTTGTCTTCGTTTATGTCGTAGGCTATAAGTCATATTTTCCGTGTAATGGCTTATGCATCTACCCTGTTACCCAGGTCGCATTTAGCGAAGTAGGATTGTGATGTTCTATGGCACGTTAATAGCAGATTATTTAGCTGGGTATATGGTCGCAAAATGGCAATTATTGTTTTATGCTTTACTAAATCTAGGTATTGCATAACTTTTGTAGTCTGACTAGACAATTGTAAGGTTTTTGGAGTTCACAGCTACACTTCTCCACAAAGTGTCAAGAGCATATTAATTACCCTTGAGGCTTCCTCTAAACTGCTTCAAACTATTTCATATGAAACACAGCCTAGTCATTCTAGCAGGTATCAAAGTTGTATCCTCTGAGTAGTGGACAGCACCAATTTGACTGCTAGCCAGAAGATAGATTCCAAAATCTATTACATCATACAAAAGAGACAGCTGGAGAAGTTAAAAATATTGTTTTCACGAACTACTAGATATCAAATTATTGTTAGAAAAAGACCCAAAGAGAAACAATGAGCTTGGATATACTTAGTCATCGACTGATCTTCATGTGTGTTAGACAAGCTTTAGCAGGTTAGTCATTTCATAATACTCTTTTGTAACTGTTTGCACAGTGTTTCCCTTCACTGATTAGTTTTTATTCCCTTTATCTTGCTGTATGCACCTCAACCTGCAGTAACGTATGCTTATTTATGTGGTTCATATCAACAGTTCGGAACATCAAAGGGTTGATACTGTGGTTTAGGAACTAAGCATTCTTTCCCCTCGTTAACTTAGTTTATCGTAGACAGGGTTTTGTAATGGACAATACTGAGTACTGTATACCACATATCACAATCATCTTTGTTCGTAGTGGTTTCAACCCTTTCCAATGGACTCACTTCTCCTACATAACCTACTGTACCATGTAATAATCATAAATAATCCAACCTCAACAGCTATAAAGTAATTTCATTATTTCATTTGATTTATCAGAAGTATCACACGGTGAAACAGTATTATTTATTGGATTACAATTAGAACACAATTTATTGTCCATAGTTATATCAGAATAACTTCATAACTTTGAGATTTTCCATATACTTGTTGTAAGGTGTTCAGTTATCCCCATCGCATATATTCGGTGTTAATTCGGAAAAGATCCCGCTATCTACCTCTCCCTTTAACCAAATGAGTTAGTTTTAAGAATTGTCAATCGATCTCATTTTGTTATATGGTTGTACATAATTGCAGACATACCTATAGTTAGGATATTTTTCTAGGATCTACGAATTTTGATTTAGATAAACCTTTGTACTCAGATGGCTGATTTGACCAGATGTATGGAAACTTCTACCAACTCTATTACAATTAAGGTGAGAGTATCAGAATTATATAAATCTTCAACGTTCTCAACGTTGTGTAGCCACCTTCGTATGACTATGGGTAATCCAGTAAATAGTACTGTTTCGTTTTGTGATAAATCTAATAAATCGAGTGAAATTGAACCACATTCTACCACTGTTGTATAGTCTAGGTAGTTGACTTTTAACCAATGGGGTTGTTGGTTCGAATCCCACCCCACTTACTGAGGTATCGGCAACCAAGTAATGTCGTTAGTCTTTACACAATAAGTGTGGCTCATTGCCCAATGCACAAATGTGCACACGGTTTTAGTGTTACGGTCATAAAGTTAGCACCAGGGCTTCTATTTTCCAATGCACCTCGCCTAATCTAACTTTTCGAACATTCCACCAGTATCAAAGTTAATGTTAGGAGTTGAAATCCAAGTACGCCTTTTGAAAAACGAGAAATGTACCGTAAAAATTGTTACATTTTTTCTCAAGTTATTTAACGGAACCATTTCTTAACGGAACTAGTCATAGGCTCTAATTTTTTTTTCATGTAAAATTCGTCTGTTCATATAACTGGGACAATATTATTTTCCTCTATGTGAGTCACTCCTCCCGTTATGTTTCACTCTACTATTTGTCAGATCAACTCATTCAAAACAACATTATTACACCTATTGTGTAATGATACTACCTGATTGCTGAAACGTCTCTAGGTAGAGTGGTGTTAAAACCCATCACCCCACTGGTTGAATGCCAACTGATTCGACCAATAACGCTCAGCATCACAACAGCTGACTCAGATAAAAGTCAGAAATTTAGTTATCTGTAATAATTATATTTGCTTGATAATTTACAACCGAGTTTACAATCAGAAAAGGAGTAAATAGCCTTATCAAATATGTCCAACTAATATAATTCTCTTAGGGGGAATCAGTTGTCTGAATCGGATTAACAACACTAAGTAGAATTGCCAACTAAAGGAACACTCCTATTCCAAAATATCTTGAGTTATTTTCAAATATTTAAAGATTCCTATAACATTAATACAAAGCAACAATCTGAACGAAGAATATTCTGCACAACAAGCTCTCATCAGGCGCTACAATTATAAAGTGCATTTGTACGGTGTAAAGTCAAGCCACATTCGAGGCAAATACATTTTCAAAATGGAGTGAAATTTAGGGACTGTAATGAAATCGAATTTTTCTTGGTAAATCTGTCAGTATTACGATAATATGTATATACAGATGAATAATGTCATGTAAAACGAATAAGCAACAAATAAAGGAGGATACAAGTGGTCCTTACTTTATTGGACGCCAAAGCAGGAATAACATAAGAACATGTTCCTTCTAAATGCGAAGTTTAGGTTTTGTCAATCTTATTATGACTGCCCCAGCTATATATTGAACTAGCGCTGACGAGCTACACATGGTTTTGTTTTCGGCACACACTGTATGATATTGAAAGCTTTCTAGCATCAATGTGATGCCGTCTCTGTTTACTAGTTGCGCTAGGATGGAACTTTTCACTACTTTTACTCCACCTTTTTGTGACCAAGTGGGTAAATGCTCTTGTATGCCGGTCGTCTTTGCATATCTTTCAGTAGTTGGTCAGTGCTAAATCCGAAACAAAAGAATAGCTAACCTAATCTTAGCTCTTCATCTTTCATATATCAAGCGTATTTACCGGCTTGGTTCGGAATGAGCGAAGTGAAAAGTTCCATCCTAGCGCACCTCGTGAACAAACAGCATCACTTCGATCCTAAAAAAGCTTTGTTCTTATGCAGCGTGTGCTGAAAACAGAACCACGTCTAAGCTTGCCAGCGTCTGCTCAACACAGTTGAAACTGTCTCAGTAAGATTGATGAAACCTAGATTTTGCATTAGAAATGAACATGATCTAACGTTATTACCCCCTTGGCCTTCAATAGACTGAAGACCACGCCTGTACTCCTTATTTGTTGTCTATTCGTTCTCCATCACACTATTCATCTTTATGTACATATCATCTTGATATTGATAAATTTAAAAGAAAAAATGGATCTCCTTGCAGTGATTTCATCTCACTCCATTTTGAAAATGTATTTGCCCCCTAACTTGGCTTGATTTGGTATTATGCAACTGCAAAAATATGAATGGAACAGACTGGCTTGCTAGCTTCAGAAAAAACAAATCATTTGCGGATCAAACTGCAAGGCTTCGTATCATCATAGAACAGAACATAGAATGGCAGTCAACTGGATTGAAAAGACAGACAGACAGGCCTTCATTAATCTGTGGAGATGTTCTGCACTGCACTGGACTCAGGATAAAGAAGAAGATACGGATTTTGGACACAAATTCAGTCGAGTAAGTCAGTGGTTTTAGGTTATGGTTGAGAGACTTGACTCGTTACGAAAAGCATTTTCAAGAAAGTACAGATATACTGAAGATCACATCAGATGGCCCGAAGGAATAAGTAAGGATGAACTCTGGCTGACAACTAAGCAACGAATCAAGAACCTATTGCCCAACAAATATGGAGGAGAAAATGGAGAGGGATTGTATTGGACATAGACTAGGGAGAGGGTTTGGGGACATCAGGAACGAGGCTGGTCCGTGGAGGGTGTAAGCCGAAGGGAAAAGGACTGGTTGGGCATCGGAGAGTGACATGGAGGAGATGGTGTGAGGAAGAAATGAAAGGTTATGGGTAGTGATGGAGCCAGGTGTAAGAGACTGTAGCGAAGAGAGTGAAATGGTGATGTGCTTCTGAATCCTTATGTTCCACTAGGAACCCAGGAGACAAGTAGTAATAAGCTCATTTTACAATTGTAACACCTGATAAGAGTTTGTCGTGCAGAATATTCTTTCAGATTATTCCTTTTTATTGGATTGTTTTTCATTTGAAGTTTTTTAACTGCCCAACCATTGTGTAGACTGGAAACCAACTCAATACTCAAACAGTTCAATAGTAGTATCCTTCGCTTGTTCATGACACTTTGTGTCAGAGATCACAAGGTGTTGATGTAGGCTGAATGGTTTCCAGCGGAAACCTTGTTGACTGGCATCATAGTTTTACAGTTGAAAAAGTACTCAGCTGTGAGATCTGTCAAGGTGGACTTTACAATTCGTAAAACATTTGCAAATTGATCATCTAATTCTAGGTATAGCGGTCTATGCCAGCCAACTAACGGCATTCTGGTCGTCTGAAGCCATTCGGCCTTGTGGTGTGATAAACTCGGTACCGAACGAGTTAAAAACACCCTTTCGGTGTTCAGAACACTGTGATCTGACTGGCGAAGTACTATCGATCAGCCTGAGTGGTTTTCAACTACTCAAGTTGTTTAGTAGTAGTATCTTTCTCGATGCTTCACGAAGACAAACAGAAAAAGTAGAAATACCTTGTAACAAAGTTCACGAGTTCAAGTTTAGCACACCTCCAACAAGAGGAGGAAAGAAATCGAACCAGAAAGTTATCTCATTGCATAAAGTTGACATAATATGAGAGAAGGAATAAGTGGATACTAGTAGAATTTTCACGATTCTGAATTGCGTAATAATCAATGCAATTGTCGTCTTCATCTTCTATTTTGTGGTATATCACTTAGAGTTTCTAACAATTTTTTGTTTGCATCTTCAGGAATCTCAGTTAAGAAGCCTACATTCCGCTACACAACGCTAACAAAATCTGTCAGTGTCTTCATTAGTCAGTACTCCTCTGATGTGACTACTCTTAGCATTTATTTCCCCGCGATTACACCATATACGTGGCATGGTTTACCCTCAGTCTAGGCATCGGGTTAATATCATGAGCTTTCATACAATTAATGCAGCTCATAACTTGGTGTATACGCACCTCCATTATATTGAGTTGTATGCTTTTGTTGGTTTTGAGTTATTATGTGGCATGCGTAACGTGTGTTTCGATCAACTCGGTGGATACAAATTCGAGGACTCATCAAGTGAAATACCTACCTTGCTGATCCACTTATTGTATATTTAAATCGCGAATTTTGTGCAAGATGAATATTAATAAACTCCGGTACATAAAGTAATATAAGAACTTGAAACAGTTATTCTCTTTGATGAATTTACATAGTGTAATACGAAGATGGAGGTTATCTCAGAAATGTGATGTATTCACCCAATATATTTCTAACAGTCTGATCACACATTTACTTATCAAGACTTCAAGTATTTGACCACCGTTGCCTTCATAGCATAGGACGTATTCCATGGTGTCACCACGTGAGTAATGCAGAAGTCAGGAGTAGAGTTTTAGGGAGTAGAGGTAAGTCTGTTGACAAGGTTGTGAACCGTCATCGATTGAGATGGTTGGGGCACGTGTTACGTATGCCTAGTCGCCGATCGCCTCGTCACACAATGTTGGTTGAAGTAGGTTCAGGCTGGAAAAAGGCTCTAGGTGGCCAGACTAAAACATGGCATCAATGTGTGAAGTGTTTGACTGTTGGTTTGAGCCATGTGGGGAGATGCAGACTGGTCGGTTGGGGTCGGCGGGACAAGAGGTACCGGTGGTTGGAGACTGTAGGCGATATTGCTCAGAACCGATGTCAGTGGCGCAGATGTATACACATATTATCCTCATCTTAACGACACTATACCGAATCTCACCATTTTGTCACTCCTCTTTCTTTTCTTCTCGTAATTTTTATTTCTTTTGACTGCATTCACTTATCTTCATCCTTCACCTCACTACCTTTCTACTTGATGTACTGATATGAAGTGTGGCAACTCAGATCGTTACCCACTAATGCCTGGTCCTATGTTGATAATGATTGATTGATTGATTTATCAAGGCATTTTGTATAAAGGATAAAAATAGAGTAGAGTAGGGTAAAATAAATAAATCAAGATAGTACAAGATTCGGAAAATATGCTGATAATAAGGAGGAATAATACAGTTTTACACTTCCTTTGGCATTAAAATATATAATCTTTATCTCATTTCAATACATTTTTACACCTCTTTTAGCATTTAAATGTATAATCTTTATCTCATTTTAATGTCAAGGGAGGTGTGAAAATGTATTATTCCTCCTTACTATCTGCATATTTTCCGAATCTTATACTATCTTGATTTATTTATTTTACCCCACTCCACTTTATTTTCATCCTTTATACCTAATGCCTTGATAAGTAAATGTGTGATCAGACTGTTCGAAATATATTGCGTGAATACATCACATTTCTGAGATAACCTCCATCTTCGTATTACACTATACAAATATAAGAACTTTAATGAAAAGTTTAAAATGAGATGAAGCAAAGAATATAACGGGAATTAGACTAAAAGCGGTCCTGTACGACACATCCATTCATATTCCTTTTAACCGAGATATTCAGGTACCAACATTATCATCCGCTTCATAGCCCCATCATACCTGCATAGTGTTACGATGACATTTATAGTAAGAATATGCCTAGGTTCCCCATATCATTGAACATTGAGGGAAATACAGCGTAAACAGAGAGTAGGATTACGAAGCGAACTGTTGTACAAAACTATCACAATACCGAATTAGCAAGTTAGATGCAACAAGCTTCAAACATAACGCAGATTGTTATGTACAAACTGGATACTATTGCATATCTATATGCATATCAAGCTATAATCATCGTTTCATGACCGTGTCGTTACTTTCTGATTTATCGTCGACAGAAACGTATACTTCATTTCATTTAAATGATTATCTTTTTTTTAAATAAAATCCCTCCTAGCTTTGTGCTGCTCCTGTTCTTCTTCAGCGTCCAGATGATACTAATGCATCTTCTTCAAGGTATGCATAAAATACATTTTGCTTTTTTTATCATGTAATTCATTTTGCAGTGCAATTATTTCTGAATGTCACTGATCATTGATTGGTTGATTGGTTCACTTATCGTAAGACAGAAGGCCCGTTTTACATTTGCCGACTTGCGACATCTGTGGTGTCAACTGGAGACATCTACAACTAATAATCGAAAGACAAATCCACTGTGCTTCAGTCTGTTCTACTGTTTTATACGGCTATGAGGCGTCGCCCTTGAACGTAGAAGACATGAAGTAGTTAAAGGGTCTCGATCACATGCGTCTTCGTAGCAGTGCTCACCCTTGGTGAAATTCACGTGTGAGCAACCTTGAGGTAAGTCAGGTAAAGGGTAACAACAGGTAAGACAAGCAAGTTGATTAGTGAAATTGTAAACCTTCATTGACTGAGGTGACTTGAACTCCACATACTGAGTCACCACCCGTCTCGATATGCCGAGCTAAAGGAAGTTGCATTTAAGTTGGACAAGGGTTCAGGGTGGTCAGATCAAGACGAGGCACCAGTCAATGAAGTCGCTGATTGTTGGTTTGAGTCATGTGGGAAGGTGTGGACTACTTGACTGGAAATGATAGAAATGAGTGGTCGAGGATTCTTGGTGATATGGTTAGAAATCTGTTATAATAAGACAGATGTATTCACTGCTTAACATCTTAACCTCAAATATTTGCACCATCCCTTATCTTCAGATTGTTTATTTTCTCACACAACGTTGTCTTCTTCGATATCGATCTTTTTCTGTCCACTTGTTCTTTGTACACTACTGTAACGTTTCGCAACTTGAGCCGATTCACTTGTGTGTGTATGTGTGTGACGTTCTTCCTCATCCTTTTTTCACGTTTTTTGGCACTAACTGTTTCGCTTTTTTTATATTATAGCAGTATCTTTGTAAGATACTATTCATTGTGAGCTGATGTCATTTGGACAACCATTGAAAACCCAGGACCATAGGACATCTGTTCCATCTTCGTATGAGACTCCTCAACTATGCTTATCCACTACCAGGCTAGGAATCGAACTGAAGACTTTCAATTCTCATGACGATCTGGTCAACCATTCAACCACTAGGTCATAGTTCAATGATCGTCATGTAGCACAACTATCCCTGTTAAGAAGAAAAAAAATCCCCATTAGCCTCAAAATACACGCATATATACGCATACTAAATTTTAGTATTAGCCATAAGTAATTAGTGTAGTTGGTGAATTAAGAAAATTATTTTTACTAAAATCAATGACTCAAATATTTTTATCTCTTATCGATTTGTAATTTAATTCTGATGTATTTAAAAAAAAAAGAAAATAGTGGAGAAAATGAGAAAGAAATTTGTCACTTGTGCACTTCAAGTTGACTGGATTAAAAGATGAATATATTGAACAGAAACACTGTTGTGTTTGAACCGATATCTTTTCTTTAGCGGCTAGTAGATTGTTAAGTAAAGCGATATAATCAGAGAGGTAGAATCAACGTAGAACTTCCCAAACAATTGCATCGGTTTAAATTGCCACGCTTCACAGTAGTATACAAAGAACATGGGGATAGAATAGGTGGAGAAAGTTGTGTGAAAGAATAAGCGACCTGAAGACAAAGGTTAGTGTAAATATTCAAGCTTTAGATGTTAAGGAGTGAATACATCTGTGCTACTGTGACAGATTTTCAACGATGTCGCCAAGACTACTCAACCGTTGATTCCTATCCTCTCTGGGACCCTAACTAGGTAGTCAACGTTTCCCCATATGACTCAAACCAACAATCAGCGACTTCATTGACTGGTGCCTCGTCTTGATCTGACCACCCTGAACCCTTGTCCAACTTAAATGCAACTTCCTTTAGCTCGGCATATCGAGACGGGTGGTGACTCAGTATATGGAGTTCAAGCCACCTCAGTCGATGAAGGTTTACAATTTCACCAATCAACCTGCTTGTCTTACCTGTTGTTACCCTTTACCTGACTTACCTCAAGGTTGCTCACACGTGAATTTCACCAAGGGTGAGCACTGCTACGAAGACGCATGTGATCGAGACCCTTTAACTACTTCATGTCTTCTACGTTCAAGGGCGACGCCTCATAGCCGTACGACATGACAGAAGTGCCATGTGCTCGTCCTTTGTTAAACAGGCCTATATGTCTCCAGTTGGCGCCACAGATTATGCAAGTTGGTTAGTTGTACGATCTACTTAGCCCCTAGACATTAGATATTCATTACTGCTTGTTATTACTATGACCGTCTTATAATTGTTCGCCAATCTACTAGTTACGGATTTTTATATTTTAGACTTCACTATTGAGTGTATTACTACCGATTATATTGGCGTAATCGAACTGTTCTATGTTTAACATTTTGTTAGTGTTTTATGTCAGTGAACTGTAGTCATGCATTGATTGTTGTGTTATGATTATTATTATAAATTGTTAATTATGAGAAATCTGTGCTAGGTTTTGTAGTTCAACCGACATGAAGTTTTGGACCTAGACTTTGTGCTGACTGGCACTTATCACCAACATGTGTATCTGCAACTATGAGGAAACAAATGTTCCCTGTGTAGTTCAAACTTGTACCACATCAGTTTATTGGTCATAGTGTAAACTTTATCGATAAATTTCGGTCAATAATGAGCAATCAGGACTTGACCACCTACTGATAATTCTAGTTGAGCTGTAGCTCATTGGTTTAGGGCGTTGACTTTCAACTAGTGGTTGACTGACTGAAGCTCTGCTCCACCTTTCAAAGTTTGGGCAGCCAGGTAGTATCACTAACTTTCAAACAAAATAGGTGTGGCTCATTGCCTACTACACAAATGTGTACAAAGTTGCTGAGTGCATTTCGTTTCAATTCTGTTTTTCTGGTGAATGATTTGTAATTTATCAGTTATGTATATTTCTTTTTTATGTTTTTTTTTTTGAGTTTAATCGATTGTTGAAGTGTTTATTTAAATGGTACCAATTGAATTGAAATGATGATCCTCTTTGCTTGTAATCGCAGATCATCTAAGACAATGTAGCTAGGACCCTCACATCAAAATCTTCCTTTCAACTTTAGATATCGTCCTGCTTATTCAATGTAATTCGCTGTGCTTTGACTATTCAAAAATTTGAACAATTTTTAACAATTCACAAGAAAGGCTTTATATTGATACCATTAGCTGTGCATTGAAAAAAAAACAACCAAAATCTCAAACTTGTAAAAAGACTATGTGCGACCGCTCTCAAGCAAACGTACGTTGGACTCTGCGGTCACGTACAAACTCTTCTTTTTCAGGTACCTCATGAAGCACTAATCCTTCACGGTATGACCAGCCAGGTAGTGTCAACCGCTCTCACAACTTTGTCAGCCAATAAGCTGGCTTAGATCACTGTCCACCTCCCACATCCTTACCCTCCAATCTTCCTTCATGTCTGAGTCAGCTATCCTACATCACCTTTATTTCTCCCAGCTCCACAGCTCTCAACAACGACCTGAGTTCACAGAACAGCATCTCTGGTTTCCTAAATTCACTTCAAATTCCACATTGTGGTTTCCAATGTTCAAAACCTCCATCAAGTCGACTAGCAAGCTTCACTAGCCAGAAACTCTAGCAACTCGGGTAATGGATGTGTGCTGTATTTGTTAGATAGCCATACAAGACCCAACTGTGGTTATTCACTTAACTTCATTCGACCAATATGGTGAATCCCCGAAATTCTTTCGAGTTCCTGTAGATTCAATGGTCTTACAGGTGTGTAGGTATAGCATTGAGCACTAAAGCAGAAAGTTCTCTGCTCGACTAAATCTCAATTGACAGTCACCTACATACCGTTCGACTGAACAGCACAGTGAAGACAAAAAGGAACCATGAAACTTGCTATTAATTCACCAATGAAGGAAGATAAAACTCAAGCAACACCACGGGCAAGCAGCCATACGAACGTGTAACATTGCACAGAAATGTATCAGTTCAAGTTGCCAAACTATGCAACTGCACAAAAAAGAGTAAGTAAACAGCAAACTAATGATATTTAAGTAGACAAAAGTGTACGAAAGGTGAGGACGACATCGATAGATGAACGTTAGTAAAGCATGCGGAATTTCAAACGAGATCTGTGTCATTGTGATCACTTTTGAACTGTGTTACTGGAATTCTCTAGTCATTGACTTCTGTCATCGCAACAATTTAAACCGTTTAACCTACATTTATATATGCTAGTCAGACCAATGACCAGAAACGTCATACTAACGCCACCACTAACAACAACAAGCTTCAATCACCATCAATGGGCGAAACTTAAAGGAAGTAGCCTCTTTCACCTATCTAGGTAGCATCGTTTCAACTACAGGCGGCACAGACGAGGACGTCAAAGCCAGGATCGTAAAGACAGCAAGACAGGCGTTCATTAATCTGAAACCAATGTGGAGATCTGCACTCAGCATAAAGCGTGAACGAGATCTGAACTTTCAACACCAATGTCAAGTCAGTGCTTCTATATAAGTGAGAGACTTGGCGCGTTACGAAAAGCATTTCCAACAAACTACAGATATTCATCAACAACTACCTACGCTCGTTGCTGAAACTGAGATGGCCAGAAAGAATAAGCAACAAGGAACTCTGGCAACGAACCAACGAAGAACCTATCGCCCCACAAAAGATGCAGAAGGAAGTGGAAATGGATTGAGCATGCACTGAGTAAACCATTCGGAGACATCACGCTCCAGGTCAGACACTCGAGTGGAACCTATATGGCGAACAGCGAGTTAGGCGTCCGAGGGTGACATGGAGGAGATAGTGTGAGGAAGAAATAAAAGGTTGTGGGTAGTGGTGGAGCCAGGTTGAAAAGACTGCAGAGAAGAAGAGAGTGTAATGGAGACGTACTAGTGAAGCCGTATGTTCCATTAGTAACTCAAGGGACAAATAATATAACATAATGATAAGTGTTACTTTTATCCATCTTCATCTTCGTTCTTACTTGGATTTATTTCGCATAACTTTACATATTGTAGAAGGTTATGACCGGACATGCAGAACGTATCTTCAAGGCACCTCAATCAGGGAAGATTCTCAACCCTCCTTATTTAGTTACCTACACTTAACTAGTGGTTTAGGAATCCAAGCATCTCCCCAACTACTCAGGTTTGGGATACCACGTAGTGTCACAGACCTTATACACTAGAAACGGGTGGCTCATTGCTTGATTCTGCATGTAGTCGCTTCGTTACAGTATGTTTCTTGCGAATTTTATCAGGCAAGTACATCTTAAAATAATTTATTCATACTGGTTGGAGATTGAAGTAGAGTGAAAATTTCGGCGCAGTGAGATTCGGACTGTTTTTCTCACCCAGTTCTCTTCCAGCTGAGCTACGAGAGCACAAGGTCGGAAACTTGATACTCGCTGAGGCCTAAATTTTTATTTCATCTTCATTCTTCACACAGTATCGATACTCCCTAACCATCGTTATGTCAGATAGTGAAAATGATTATGAATATTTTATTGTCATTTATCAGAAATGATACATTTTAGAATTCAATGTTTGCCGTCTTAATGATTTGTAGTCGACTATAAGTTTGATTACATTCATATCATCGGTGGTTTCGCTGTTTTATTAGGTCACCGTGTTTTACAAATTGCTCTATACAATATTTTCATTACCTTCCAGATAACAAATTTACATATATATATATATATATATATATATATATATATATATATATATATATATCAATCTCTGCTACAGTATTTCTTCATTTTTAATTTAACCTTTTTCGTCGTTGATATATAGTTGTGAATCATTCTTCCGTCTTTTGGACAATTTAAGCGTGGATCTAATTATTCAATTGTTTGTTCAATTGCTTACTGAACAGAAAATTCTTATGTCATCTGTACGACATTCCGTGTTGAGTGATATTGGTGAAGCTTTGACATGTGTGAGTTTAAATTATAGGTACTTTTCAGTTTTATGATGTATATCCCATTGCTTTAATCATCAACCCTCTATACAATGAGTCTTGGGTTGAAATCTCACCTCCTTCGAATTACATAATTGTCGAGTATCCCATAAAAATTGTGGTTCCTAATTTAGCACATATTACCCGTGTTGGGTTGAGTTGCAAATATTTACATACATCACACTGATCACTCAATATTTTTTGAAAAACTTTTTTCTTGAAGTGAGTAAATGTGAATAAATAACACGTGGAATCCTGTCAAAATCATGCTGTATGTACCCTATAGTTTGCACTATATGTGTACTTATGTTACTTCTTAAGCCTGTGGAGGAATCTATGACTGGTTGATAAGCTTTTTTGTGTGTACATAACAAACAAACGGTTGAATTTGCATAATTATATGGAAACTCAATATAACCCAATGATTTGTTAGATTGCAGTAACAAACTACAAACATTCGTCAATAGCTGCCTACGCGCAATACTGAAGATCAGATGACCAGAAAGAATAAACAACAGAGAATTCTGGGGACGAACCAACGAAGAACCCATCGCCCCACAAAAGATGCAGAAGAAAGTGGAAATGGATTGGGCATGCACTGAGTAAACCATTCGGAGACATCACGCTCCAGGTCAGACACTCGAGTGGAACCCATAAGGGGAACTGCGAGTTAGGCGTCCGAGGGTGACATGGAGGAGATAGTGTGAGGAAGAAATAAAAGGTTGTGGGTAGTGGTGGAGCCAGGTTGAAAAGACTGCAGAGAAGAAGAGAGTGTAATGGAGACGTACTAGTGAAGCCGTATGTTCCATTAGTAACTCAAGGGACAAATAGTAATAATAATAATAACACCGTTAATAAAGATAATGAAACAGGTAATGATTGTCTCATCTTGCTCACATACCATCGTAAAAAAGTATATTTTCGTTTAAAATAGGCATTTTGATAGACATCAGTATCTGACTTCTTATTGGAATAAAGGCGCAGTGATAATTGTTGAAGATAATTTTTCAGAGGAATTGACACCATATCATTTAATTTTATTTATGCAACTTTACACCACCGTTTGCTCGTATTAGTTTTTGATTATTCGGTGGTAATTTTCATAAGTTTTTTGGTGTTGTTTGGATAGATGCAGTTGTGAATTTAAAGGATAATTCTGTGACTTTTAACTTCACGGGTCTCATGCTGTAATTTCTATTTGTGAGCATAATTTCAATTGAATTTAAGACTTTGTAGCTAAGTAATGATGGATAGTGGCTAGCTGTGGAATCCAGGATGCTCATTTTGTCCTATTTAGGACTCAGTGAGTGATGTTGTTCCCACTAGGATAATACAAGCAATCATACTATTGTAGCTAAGTGCCTAAACTTCACAATCATTCACTTAAACGTTTCACGACACTTTGATATCTTCACAACGTGTCAATGAAATTGATATAAAATAGTCACATTTTGTTGTGAATATGAAGTCAGTAAAACACTAAGTTTGAGTTACACCTGCCTAACGTGGGCTTATGGTACCTTGTGTTTACTAAAGTCAGTCAGCTTCAACTCAGAACTTGGTTTTTGCCACATCTCATGCCAGTACACCAAGGTACCAAGCACATCTTTATAAAGTGGCTTATTTCTCCAAGAGTAGTAGAAAGTTGGGAAAAGAGAAGAAGAAGGGATAATACGATAATGAAATGCAATCTGACAATTAAAACGAAGATAATGTGTGGATGCATCATCTACCCCGCTGTGTGATATCGATCCTGAGCCTATCACCCGGAATTCGAGACCACCGACTTCGTTTGTCATGCTGACTCCTGCTGAGAAGTATACATCACCCAAGCCATAGTATGTGGAGTGAGTTTGAGTCTGGTGCCAAGTAGAAGTGTTTAAGTTTTTAGTATGAAGTTATGCTTTTGTTTACTGAGCAAATGCATAACTTTGATCGCATTTTCAAAGTAAATACCCAGTAGTGAATACCAGTAGTTTCAAAAAGTTCACTTGTGATTGATCTAAAGTAGTAATTATCCTAGAATTCAGAGACGCATCTCGATCTGATTTCAACACTTGAACAGTAACTTAAAAGCCCGTCTCCGAGTTTATCAATCTGTCACCGAACCCCGCCATTAGTAAGCAAAAACAAGAGGAAGCAGGAGAAAGCGGAACAGATTTATTCTCGCTTCAAACTAAAGATGTAAGCGGCAAAGATTCATCGGTGTTCTTCCGGAAGACTTTTCAAACTAAGGTACTAAAGTATGTCTGCTGCTAAAATGTAGATGAGTACTTTTTGTGTAAGCTTGTGTTTGTTAATTTTTTAGTAAGTCATTCGTTTTGTGTCGTGCTCAAACGATAAGTTATTCTAAGCGATGTTTTTGATATTCAGGTTTCAACTAACCCATAATCCTTTACTTTCTTCATCTCAAATGAAATAGTTGAGTGTTAGCCCTAGTTATCTGACATTGTTATGTTTCATTTCATAATGTTATCCTACAACTATCAATTTGTTATTCTTAACTGTTTCTCATTGGTCTAGACAGTTTCGGGTCCAAACCTAACCCCACTTACCAAAGTTTTAGCAGTCAAGTAGTATCATTAGCCGTCACACAGTAGGTGTGGTTTATTACCTACTGCACAGGTATATACAAGGTTGCTGAGTGGATTTTGATGTCGGTCAATTCTTAACTAAACCGAGCTGATGTAAACTGATTAGAAATACACTTACAATCGAGATTGTGTTGTTTGTATGTAAGAACAAAACAGTAAACTTTCCTTTCCCCTACTTGGCTGTCAACTCAACTACCCTTATAGATATAGGACTTTCATTTCTGCCTAATATACTTGAAATATATCAAATAATCAGCCATAATGATCTTCAGTTTAAGCTAGAATGAACAAATTCAAATGGCAAATGTCTTCTGAATGTTATCTTCTATTATGTTTCCCCTTTAACTGCTTTAAGTGTTGAAAAAACCGAGTGTTTTCTTCTCCCAATCTCACATGGTGTTACTGTACATGCATGTATTGTGATATTGTTATCTACATTGATTAGTTACTGGAGGGCAACCAACTTCATGTTGAATTCTTTCAATGATTTTGAAATGTGGCCACCAGACTAGACAGCTCAGCATTGCGACAAACTTTGATAGATGTTAGTTGGATTAGAGGCAATCGACAGGAAGCCGTGATATTGTTACCTGTCTTTGAAATTGAACTTACGTATATTGAGCTCTTAACTAAGATCTTTTTGGAGTTAACTTCATTACAAATCATGAATTAATATGTAACTCAACAGTTCCGTGCACTCAGTTCAGAAATATCCTTGGAGGTTGTTCTTGACGATACCAAATGTTAGTAAATAAAGATCAGTTCAAATTTGTGTCTAAGCTGCCATCTAGCCACTACTTCCGTGGTGCCTCAGAAATACGATACACGCGATATTTATTCTTTTTCATTTCTAAGTACATTTTAAGATAAATGTATAGTACTATTCTACTGGGATGGGTTTTTACTAGTTTGTGAACTATGATCATTTTCTTTGAAGCATCAGGTTATGTGTTCAGTGCAAAAAGCTGTTTAATAGGTTCGTCCTATGACCCATTTCGATGAACTGTTTTCCCATAGACTATGATGTCAGTCTATTCTCTGTATTACTTGGAGAATTCGAGTATAATTTTCTCTCTAGCTATTTACGCAAGGTTGCACTATCAACTTCACAGTACGATCATTTCTCCCAACGTCTGTTTGTCCATTTAAACCGCTATATGGGGCTTTCAGGATCCATGTACTTGAGTTTATTCCAGTCTTAGCAATGACAAAGTCCTGACTCCATTTGTTCATGTTAAAAACAACTTGTCCTTATTTTATACCTTCCGTAATAATCTTTATCTGATTCCTTATACTAAAGTTTGTTTGAAAACATTCCTTCTTTATTATATTTTTATCTTCAAATCTTCTATTACCTCAATTCATTTGTGTAAATATACCCTTCATTGTTGACTTTCATATATGCACACTCGTTAAAGGGATGAAACTGTATATGGAATAGCTTGCTGTAAATCAAGTGTAATAGGAATTGCAGTAAGCAGCCAGTAAACTCCCACTACTATGGGTGAAAGTACTTTCCAGTCCCTTATGATAGAAATATTTTGTTCGAATTATGCACAGAACTTCACACTGATGCTTACTTTCATTCGGTCGCTGATTGTTTTGTTCCTACTCAACGCTTCAGCTACAAAACTGTAAGCGAACTTGTAGGACCTCAGTTACTGACAAGTAATAAACCTTCCACTATACTGAAGAATGTAATTTATCAGGTTACTCATGCTAGACAGGAATGGTGGCTAGAAGTGGAATCCAATATGCGCTTTTCGTTCAGCGGTTCAACGAATTACTTTGTTCCCACTAAGATTCAAACCCAGCATCCATCGCTTCCAATATCACAGTGTTATCCATTAGACTGTGAAGTAACAACAGCTACTCTTTATGTAAAGTGTATAGTTTTAGAGTTGAATTTGTCGTTCCTCGTTGTTGACTGGTTTGGAATAAATTAGTTCACCACGTGTTGGCATATGAGCTTCTGAGTGAATAAATCCTAATATCGGAATGAAATCACTGGTTATATCGAAACATCCACACAGGAGTCGTTATATCAACAGAGGCAGATCGCTCTGGTCTAAACTTATACGAGAACAACAAACAACACGTCCTACTATCATCAAGTTTCTTACCCTAGAATGTTCAACCTTGTTAACTGTTAACTAAGAAATGTCTCATCGATGGATGATACTTGATTGTTGACCTCAATGTACAATTTTGGCGCGTGTTTCGGTGAAGATCTATGTTTTTTTTGTTGAAAACATCTAGTCAAACTAAGAAGATAATGATGAATAGTAGTGGCTAGCAGTGGATTCCAGGACGCACTTCGTTTTACTGGGATTCATCCGCCGATTACACCTAAACCCTAGTGAGTGATGCTGTTTTCACTAAAACATCCGACTGACGAGTTTCAAGTAGGACGAAATACGCATTCCGGATTACATTATCAACCACTATCCATCATGAATATGTAGCTGAAACACAGAAATTATCGTGGCATCTGCATATGACAGTATGCTAATTGAGACCGATCATATCGGTCGATAACGGGATAATACAACTAACAACATGAAAATGTAGGAGGTTTTCTAGACAGTGTTATCCGTCGAGAATGTCAGTTCTTGTTTATTTTTAGCTTCATATACTGAAAATGAATCTTGTTTAGTGTATAAGTATCTCTTGACGTAATGATCAAACATTTTTGCTATGGCGATCATATGGACCTTTTAGGTTTACATACCTGAGTCTTATGTGTTCAACGTTGTCTAACAGTGTTCTATTGACATTTTGTATTGAAAAATATTTCTCTTATTATGATTATCCAGATCATATTTTCTTAGGAATATTGCTTAAGGCTTTCAGTGAGGAGTCTAATTGAACCATTATAAATGCATGATTTTATATAAAATTAGAACTAAATTCTTCATTTAAACACGTTCAGATTATATAAAAAATATTTTTATAACATTTTCACAATTTTGAAGTAGTATTCATCGCGGTCTGGAATCAGTTGAAAAAACTATTGAAAACCTGGGAGCACTGAGCAGCCGTTTCGCCGTAATATGGGATTCCTCAGCAGTGCCCGCTCACGAACCCTCTAGGGATCGAACTCAAGACTTTCAGGTTTCATGGCGAATAGGTTAATCATTCAGCCACTGGGTCGGAATTTACCGATCCACAGATTCCTGTGCATTGCTCCATATTAGTGACGTGCTTTGAGATGAATATCTTGAAGTTCGAATGGGAAACCGTGACCTGTGGGGTTGGAAGTGAATGGTTAACGCGTTCGCCGTTAAACCTGAAGGTGCTGTGTGGGTGCGTGCTATTGAGAAGTCCCATACTACGGCGAAACAGCTATCCGATGCTCCGAGTTTCCCAATGGTTCTCTAACTGATGTCAATCTGTGATGATAACTGCCTCAAAATTTAAGTCTCTATTAACCTCAAAATACATTTCATGATTAGTAAGCGTTTTTTTCTTTTTCCTTCGAAAATATCTTTAAACAGATGATCTTCCCTTTAAAATGGACTGTTGTCTACATTCCTTACATATATATGGGCTGCATCCATGTGATTCAGTCACCTTCACCTTATTTAATTGGAATGGATTCCCGATTTTTTGATTTTTTCACCTACCACCTAATGGTGGTATTGCCTACCTTGATTTGGATACAAACAATTTCAAACCGCCATTAGCACCAGGTCAGGTGACTTTGGATCCCAAAGTTTTGCCTAAAGTAAGATGAATTTTTTTGCTTACCGTTTTTTTAATACTTATCATCAATTTTTCTTTTCCATCTATACCAAGTTTTATGAAATGGTGTCGAAATGATACAAGCTTTTACATAATGCACACGTACATCCTATCGAAGTGTTTTTCCCTATCGATAGCTGCTTCCTTAATGTGATTATCGGTTTTACTTATCACTATTATCCAGTGAACTATTCTGTCTGGAAAGCTTGTTGTTTGAAACCTTACTGTGCCAGAAACGTCGGCTGAATAGTGGTAAGACGAAAAGAAGTTACCATTATAATGTGAATCTCTACGCTATGATAGGGGCTGAGGACGAGGTTGTACTGCTAGTTGGACAATGTGTGAGAGCACTAGGCTGTTTCTTACAGATGAGCAGAAGTGCCTTGCTCCGTTCCCTGTGAGAAGGGGAAAGTTAGGAAAAGATGGTTCTAAAAATACCAAACTCTTCCTTGCCCTGCAGTCTTCTGATCTTAGTGGTGTGGGTTTTTCTTATCCGGTGTTTGAACAATGAAATTTCAATCCAACAACCCCAAAAAGGCAGATGTTTGATGGGTTCGACAGTCACACAACACTTTTTTTTCACAGCCCTTCTGGAACAACTTCTACAGTGTGGGCAGCCGTAAAGTATCAACCACTGACATATCCAGTAGTATAAGAAACTCGATCAAACATAACCTTGCTTACTTACCTTTATCATCTCCATCGCCTTCACTTCTTGATACCAATATTAAATCCCTTACAACTGATTCAACCTCTCATTCTGTGACCATTATTAACGACTCAAGCCAGGTTAATAGCCTCCTGAAACCCCACTATCGTTTCCATACTAAAACTTTCAGTATCTCAACCGTATACGAAGTCAAACAACATGCAGCTCTTGCCCGAACTCTGGAATGCTAAGCGATGGGTTTTATGCTGTGTTTCTGGGACATGTAAAGAATACCCGAGTATGGTTATTCATCTATCCAATGCAGTGAATCTTCAAAATGCACTTTATGAGTATCCGGAGATTAAATGGCTAACTCTCATGAACTCTTTGGTGTCGGCATAACATTAAGTTGTAGAGCAGAAAGTGCAATTCTTGACTGGTTACTAATCAACTGCTTTGTCACATCCTGTTCAGTTTATTGACCTCCTCAAACATGATACCAAAACGTTGAAAGAGAGCGAATAATTACCTGAAATAGTACACTAGCTTATGAAGTCATCCCACCAAGATGTACTAAAATGGTTAACCTCATTCCAAAAGTATTCCACGATCATTCACTCAAGTACAATGCATTTTTTTATGTCCATCCAAATTTATAGATCAGTATGAGGTTAAACTCTTTTTTTTGGTGATTTTATTATCCAAATACTTTTTATTTTTGTTGAAAATAGTATTTGCAGAAAATTTATGTGAAAACTCAATTTTGTCATAATATAAATGATTATCATCATCATCATCATTATCAACATAGGACCATTACTGTGTAACGGTCCGAGTTGCCACACCTCATATCAGCACATCAAGTAAAAAGGTAGTGAGGTGAAGGATGAAGATAAGTGAATGCAGTCAAAAGAAATATAAAGTACGAGAAGAAAGGAAAGAGGAGTGACAAAATAGTGAGATTCGGTATAGCCTCGTTAAGATGAGGATAATGTGTGTATACATCTGCGCCACTGACTTCGGTTCTGAGCCATATCACCTAGGGTCTCCAACCACTGGTTCCTCTTGTCCCGTGGACCCCAACCACCTAGTCTGCATCGTCCTACATGGCTTAAACCAACAGTCAGAGACTTCATACATTGGTGCCATGTTTTAGTCTGGCCACCTAGAGCCTTTTTCCAGCCTCGACCCACCTCAGCCAACATTGCGTGACAAGGCAATCGGTGACTAGGCATACGTAGTACGTGTCCCAACCATCTCAATCGATGAAGATTCACAACCTCGTCAACTGACTTACCTCTTCTCCCTAAAACTCTACACCTAACTTCTGCATTACTCACATGGTGACACCACGGAATACGTCCTATATTACGAAGGCAACGGTGGTCAAACACCTCAAGCCTTTTTGTATCCTCCACTTTCAATGGTCATGTTTCACAACCATACAGTAGAACAGAGCGGACTGCTGTGCAGTACACGCGACCCTTATTAGACAAACGAATATCACGGCGGTGCCGTAGGGGGCGCAAATTGGCAAAAGCCAATCGAGCCTTTTGTATCCGTGCAGAAATCTCATCGGCAACTGACCCACCGGAGTTGATCCTACTTCCCAGGTAAGTGAAGTGGTCAACACACTCAACCACTCCACTCTCTATTGTTAGCCGCGGTGGGGCACCGCTGAAGACCAGTCCTGGAGCAAAAATTTGCATTTGGGTGGTGAAAATCGCATCCCAAACATTCTCAAATTCCCACTCAAAGTGTTCAGAAGACTCTGCATGATTACAATGATTACAATAATAATGAAAAAATATGAGTGTGTATATCTCGGTGTTTGATTAGGCATTTCGTCGTTTAGCATGTTAAAAACTAGTTCATTGATAGGATACCTGTGTGCATGTATTAAGAACTCGGATCACATGATTTATCGAGGTAATAATAATAATAATGAATATTCATTATAAGCGATAAGCTATTGTCTTCGTCATCTGTAGTCAGTAACGCGTTTATATATATATATATATATATATATATATATATATATATATATATATATATCCCTGAATCAAAGCAGAGAGTTATTTAATTGATGAACTGATATTTCCCTTCTTTGAAGTTGAGTTCATTAGAAAGTGTATATGAAGGAATTCAGTTCATAAAGCGGATTTATTTGGATCAATTGAATGTTGTTACTTGACGGAGATAGATTTTTGTGCTATAAGTGAATAACCGATGATGTGCATTATTGTTAGTGTGACCAGATGACCTGTACACTATGGCTATGATAAACATATTCTATCCCCCCTTCAGTATAACGCGATAAAAACTTAGCATATATAAGAGAATCATACATATTCATCATTCAGTTTACTAAAGAGTCAACAAATATTCTACATAAACATTCATATAACTTGAAAATGCTTCACTTCTGTATGGTGTATGCTCTGATGATGAAACATTCGGGAAAAGGATATTAAAACTCAGAGAGCACTAAACAATTATTATCCTCATTATGAGTTAAGAATTTTCTCTATTATCCTAAAGGGTTTACTTATTTCTACTTTTTGTCCTTTTTAAATGATAACGTACCATTTCTTCCTCTGAATAACTCTACTACTATCTTCAAAGTAGGTGGGTTTTTTTAAGTTATGAAGATGGTCAATTTTGATGATGAAATCAACAAAAATAAAAAGGTAATGACAAAAGCTGTGGATATTAACGATTATTTAACATGAACTCCTGGACGATAATGATTTGAATGTTCACCTCTTTGGTTGACTCTAGTAACCATTGAAATAGCCAATTAAGCTCCTGATTTCCTTTAGAAACGTAGGTTGTTTTTTGAAAACACTATTGTACAGCTTCTGAAAATCATTCTTCCTCCAATTTTCTTTTATTGAGTAAGTATAGATGGTTATTTCAGTAGTTGTTAATGTGACCTTCTTAGTCAATACTCACTTCGTGTATGACTGTGAAGTCCATCTTAACAGCTACAGAAATAGCTAACTAGACTATCTTATTCTATGAAAAAAATTACTTTTTCAACGTAAATAAAGAAATCGAATTAGTTATTTTAACATTTGCTAGGGTAACATATGACGTTGCTGTGTTGATTATATCATTAAGGTCTTTTTTTTATATGCTTGGGCGTTAACTTACTATTAATTTTGCAACTCATTGTGTTGATTCATATTTTTACACATCTGAAAGTTAGTTCATTATGTTCTGCTATACGCTGTGATACATGACCGTTGAAAGTAGAAGATATGAAGTGATTACAGGTTTTCAATCGAACATATCTTCGTAGCTTTGCTCCTATATGTTGTAACCATCGTGTGAGCAATGCTGAGGTCAAGAGAAAAGTACCAGGCAAGACAGACTAGTCGATTGGTGAGGTTTTGAACCTTCGTCATATGAGCCGGGCCAGCACCTACCTCAACGTGTCATGCTAGAGGAAGCTGGATTGGGTTGGACGAGGGTTCAGAGTACCCAGACCAAGACATGATACCAATTGATAAAGTCCCTGACTGTTGATCGGAGCCATGTTTGAAGATGTGGGTTGTCTGACTGGAGTCTGTGAGACTATAGAAATTAGTGTTTGATGTATCTTGGTGACATGTCTGAAAGTCGGTTACTATGGCGCAGATGTATTGATTCCTTGACATATAAAGCTTGCACTATCTGTATTCTTCAGATTGTTTATTCTTTCACACGACTTTGTCCACTTTGAATTCAGTCTTCTTCTATCCATTTGTTCTTTGTATGTGATAAGTTGAAGCGGTGCACGTTTTGTTTGTCTGTCTGGTTCAGGGGAGTAATGTTCTGTTTTGTCAATCATTCTAATCAGAGGTTGTAGCTACGCATTCTGGTACCTTCCGTGCAGTTGTAGCGCCACTAAGATTTGAATTATCGAATCTGTCTTGGTTCATGAAATTCTTTGATTACATGAAAAGTAGCAAGACTCCAACAATATTTTTGTCGGCTCATTTTCCTTATTTTTTCTTCGTTTGGGACTTCAGTCGTGGTTGCGTAAGTTCTCGTAAGTAATAAAACGTAAAAATGATGTTACCTATTATCTTAATTGCTGTCGACTTTCGAGCATTGGGTTTTGGCTTCACACTTCACTCCGTTTGAGCACCTGGGTGGTATCTCTCTCTTCCAAATAGGACGAAATGCGCATCCTGGTTTCCACTGCTACCCGCTATCCATCATAATGAGGCATATTGATGCATCCACACAGGAGCCCATATGCTAATAGAGACCGGTCAATTCGGTCCTGTCAACAACGGGATAATGCAGGTAATAACAATAACTTCTAGGTAGCCTGATTTCCTTTCAAATATGCTCTGCCTTAACTGTCACTAATATGAAGAAGTATTGCTTCATCCGAATTTCAATCATGAAGAAATGACTATTTTGTAGAGATTTCCCAGTATCGATACCGTCACAGGAAATGTGCAAACCCGGAGAGCATCATTGTTTATCCGTTGCGAGACATATATCAAGTCGTAGCGTTTTGTAAACTTTAGTGTTTGTAGGTGTCATTATAGTGAGCATTCACTTTTTCAGGGAAAAGCACCAAATAGGTTTAATTGATCTCAGGCAAACCGAATTATATGCGTTGGTGCGGCACATTGTCATATCCATTCCTAACATTTTTCGCTACACAGTGTCAGCATGAATCCTCCTTTTTTCAAACATTTGTCAGTGCACACGATATTAAGGAAGTACCATCACACTTTGCTTCATAGAACCATATTATGCAATATCCTTCCATGTAGCATTCTTCCTGTGTAATTAGGATGTGTATGCATACCTGGAAACCCACAGTACAAAGTTAAACATATAGTAACTGAAAACTTTGAGCACTGGTGAAATGCGTTCAAATTATATTCGGGATGATACCTAGAATTTCCAGTGCGTTGGGTCTTGGTGCTGTTTGAGATGTTTCTTCATGTGGATAATCTGTTCACAGATTATGAGGGTGAAAATAGGCTGTTTTCTCTTGCAGTCCTTGTTTACCACCTGATGGAAAGTGAATGCAATTGGTGGTTATGGTTTGACTACTCTAGATATAATTGCATATGCTTCAGCTGATATTCAGTTTTTATTATTACACTACAACGCATAACTTCCAAGTTAGTGGATAAATTACTCTTCTCGACTCACCATAGTAGACTAAAACTTCAGTTTGATTTCACAGGATCACTGCCTACGTGAAGCAATTGATGCATAACGAGTGAGAGTAGAAGTTCGACTCAGCAGGGGTACGTCAACCACTTCACATACTTGATGAGTTGCATTAGCTCGAGCGGGTCAGTTGCTGGCGAAATCCTCGTTTGACATTTACCAGTCAACATCATCTCTGTCACTGACGAGATATCTCAGTACATTGTACTGCATTTAATTCTGTCCTGTTATATGACATTGACGCACAGTTGGGGAAAATAGATGGTATTAAGAGAATGTAGGTTACTGACCTCTGGTATATTCAAAGCATTGCTCGCGTGTGATATGAAGTGAAGAAAAGTAAGTCATTCGATAGGGTTGTAAACCTGCACCGAGCTTGGTGGTTTGGACATGCTTTGGGCATTCCGAGTCACTGCCACCTACCTCCACGTACAGTGTCAGCTGAAATAGAATTGGATTTGAAGAAAGTCTAGGGTGGCTAGACCAAGGCGTGACATCAGTTTGTGAAATCTATGATTGTTGATGTGAGCCGTATAGGTTGATGTGCATTGTTTGGTTGGCGTCCTCAAGATAATGAGGATGAATGGTTAGCGACTTCGTGAAATCGCTGAATATCAGTCATAATGCATAGATGTCTTCACTCAATGATGTCTTTTAAAGCTCGAGTTCTATTTCCTTTCACATACGTTTGTCTATTTTATCATCACAATTTTTCTACCCATTTGTTCTTTGCATGCTACTGTGGAGTGTGGCAGCTTGAACTCATGCAATTCTGTGCGTGGTTATGTATTAATTTCGTCTATCTTTATTTTTCTATCTATGACTCTATTCAATCACTAGGTTCCACTTCAGTGGTTGCTAGCTTCAGTCTCAGGCAATTCGCAAAAGTATTGCGAATATAACTTTTAAATTAGTCTCCACAGTTTTGATTAGAATTAAATTCATCAGAATTGTGTGGACAATTTATGTTCCTACCTTTTTTTTTTCACCAAATTTAACTTCCGGTTTATTTTTAACATGATTAGTGTAGTTTTTTTAATACTGATGTAAATTGAAAACTCTTATCTTTCACAGTAGCAAAGTAATTATTGTTATTCTGCTGACTGAATTTTATTAGTCCAGTTTATAATATAAAACTAATAAACTGAATGACCAGATCCCAATATGCTTTTATTCAATTCATTCAGTATAGAGTTTTTGACGTAGTATCTCTTGAGTACTAATTCTCATTAACAAGAATAATTTTAAATCGTTTTTCCTCTGTTCACTAAAACTACCTTCATCTTCATTCTATAATCATCGAACTGACCATGAAGCAAGGATTCACGTTTCATTTTATTTAGGACTCGTCAGCTTGATGTGTTTGCACCTGAGTGAGTGGTGTTCCTACTATTGGTTATCATCGTGAAATACTTTGAAAAGGGAGTCGATAACACGATAACACAGATTTTAGGACAATGGGATTCCATAAGTCTACGTTTGATACTTTACGCATTAAGTTTTTCGCCATTATTTTATATCCAAACATTTCATCAGGCATGTTCAACACCAGAGAGGAGGTATTACTACCTTATTGGTTAAGATTCACTCTTCAACTCATCCATTTCAATCAACGAAACTGTGATTGTTATGACGCAAAATAAACTGTTGATTTATCACTGGAGTGTAAACATACACATAGTGACTAGTCTCAAAGGCCGACTCAGCTGTGTTCCTTGATCGATGTTAGGTGGCTGGAAACAGTTAGCAGAAAATCCTGGACATTTGTGTATTTAAGGTTACAGATAAGCCCTGCGGACAAGCGCCAAACCTTGACCAAACAGGAATTCCTGCCCCGAAAGAAGTTATTATCGCTGCACGTGCCGACGCTCTTTCCACGCTTGATTTACTGCTTGAAATGAACACATCATAAGATATTTGCAACGTTTTAACTAACTCTTTTTCTTCTTTCACTGCATGATTGAGGACAGACTGATGGATTTTCTTCTTTGTACATGTGCTGTCTGAGTTGAATATATATGTGTTTTCTGTCCATTATAGTAGTAGGGACCTGTTGTGACCTTAAAATAGTGGAATGTGGACTTGGATCTCGCTGCATCCAATTTGCTGCTTTTACGGTTATCATCATCTGTCCTCATATAATTGATGTTAATCATTGTCCATTCCTACGCGATTGCCTCTTTGCATTGTGTGATTATTCGAGTTGAGGTATACTTCATCAACTGTTATACGAATTTCTTTACATTTCAAGTGAAGTTTGGATCAATTTACAACGCTACACATCATCATAGAACAAAGTATAAAATGGCAGTCAACTCTCTACCTCATTTTCACCGACCTTGATAAGGCGACCCTTGGAAAGCGTCGACCGAGAAGTAATTTGACAGGCAGCTGCTTCAACACTACGGTTTTGGTTCCACAAACGTTCATCAACCTTATTCAACAGCTATACGCTATATGTCAAGTGATTGACAATGGAAGGCTCAGTGATGCTTTTGAAGTGAGGACGGGAGTAAGACAAGACAAGGTTGCCTACTATCACGATAATCTTCGTGATTGTGGTTGACTGGAGTGGACTGGATCATACAGGAAACTGTGAGATGTGCATACGCTGTTTGACTGATGGAAATATCCTAGAGGATTTGGATATCTCGGATGATGATTTATGACTAGTATCTAGTGTTGCACAAACTCGAAGATGTGCAGGCGAAAGCTAACAAGTTGGCAGAAGAGATGAGGTGAGACGAGGCAGCGAAGACGGGACTTCCTTTGGGTGAACGTGGATAAGACAGAGGTGATGAAGTTACTCAACCAACAGCAGCATCAACAAGCATCAATCACCATGAACAGGAGAAATGTAAACGAAGTTGTCTCTTTCACCTACCTAAACAGGGCAGCGTCATCTCAAACACAGGCGCAGATGAGGACATCAAAGCCAGGATTGGAAAAACAGCAAGATAGACCATCATTAGACTGAAACCAATGTGGGGATCTACTGCACTCAGCAAAAACAACGATATCCGGATTTTCAACACTTATTCAATCGAGTAAGTCAGTGGTTTTAGGTGATGGTTGAGAGATTTGACGCGTTACGAAGAGCATTTTCAACAAGACATTCATCGACAGCTGCTTACGCTCGATACTGAAGATCAGATGAGAAGGCGAGAAGGAATGCGCCACAAAGAACTCTAAGAAGGAACCAACGAAGCAAAAAGCTATCGTCCAACAAATATGCAGCAGAAGAAGGTGGAAATGGATTGGGGTATACACTGAGAAGGCCGATTGGGGACATCACGCGCCACGCCAGGTCGTTGAATTGAACCCAAAGGGGAAAGGACGAGTTAAGCGTCCGAGGCGAGGGTGATATGGAGGAGATCATGTAAGAAAGAAATGAAAGGTTGTGGGTGATGGTGGAGCCAGGTTGGGCAAACTGCAGAAAACAGAGTCCAATGAAGGTGTACTACTGAAGCCTAAGGGGAAAATAATTATAATTTAGTGAAGTTTAATTTTTTAGACACTTCATTCATTCCTTTTTTCTAAGATCCCAAAATTTTTTTCTTATTTCAACTCCTTACTTTGTAGAAACCATTGAAACAATTGAAAGTCAAATTAACTGAATTAAAAAAGAAGATAATTCATATGAAGAATGTTTCACGTCAATTAACCAAAGGACAAACACCAAGAAACATGATGCTTGACTGTATGTTTTCAACATCGAATTCAGAATTAGCCCAAGAAGAACTGGTTAAAGTTCGTAAACGTGTAAGTAAATTTTTTTGTTTGTATTTTGTTTATCCGATTTATAAACGATCATCTCTGCGAGATATCTGCCGATAGTTGATTCTGTTTTGCTTCTCTGTGGCTCAGCGGTTTAGCAAGATGTTTATCAACCATTGGGTCACCACTGGTTCGAGTCTCTCTGCGCCTATCAAATTTTTTCTAGTCGGGTAGTATCACTGGCCGTCATACAATAGGTATAGCTCATTGCCAACTGCACATATGTGCACAATATTAGGTTTCATTACGAACTACCTTGATCCACCATCTTTCTAAATAAGTTGATTTTAAGTTGAAGATATACATCGAGTGATCACACACAGTAATTTAAAACATGTGAAAGAAATGAACCATGAGTTTCGTCAATTCTATCTAGCATTCGTCTTATGCACGAAACAACTCTTCTAGTGTTCTTCAATTATTAGTTGTTCTCAGGTATTTCCATTAAGTTATGTTTCTAACCTCTAGTTCTTGCAATCACATGTTGGTATTCTCTTTCATTAGATAAATCAGTCCATTATCCTTCCTTTCCCTTAAGTAGGGGAAAATGTTACTAAACATTTCAGGGTCGTTTAAATTACCTCTTATCATGAATAGTATGTTTGTTATTCCTCTCTTTCATATGTACTTACTGTCATTTGCACAGTTAGGTTTAGTCTCTCAACTCTAACATCCGATGAGTTTATCAGCATTGTGATTCACTTGGCCTTTCAATCACTTGGATTTATGTATTGTACATTCGTTGCTGACTGTAAGCACGTCTTTCCAAAGTTGTAACTTGTAATCTGGTCACTCTGTGTTGAAGAGGAAAAAAAAGGTAGTGCTGCTTTTCTAACTTTTATTTTTGAGACTTCTTGAAGTTGTTTCACTAAAAATGTTCTTCATAAAATGGGCCGTGAATCGTGGTGCCGCCGCATCAGTGATATGGAAGTTAGACGCAGAGTCCTAACCAGAGAAGGTTAGTCCCTTGATAAGGCAGTAAACCATTACCAACCCGTATTACTTATACGCATATCCTAGTCCACTATCTGCTTCATCACTTAATGTTAGACAAAGTAGTTTTATGCTGGTGAAATGTCAGAGAGATAGAAAAATGATATCAGTATAGAAAGTCTATGACTATCGACCTGAGGCGTCTATGAAAGTTTGGACGTCTTAGTTGAACTCGATATGAATACTGAAATCTGTAATTAGAGATTATATATGTTACAACTGAGAATCGATATGAATGAGGCGAATGGATTTTAATTGTTATGCTGAATTTCTTCATTGTTTCAATCCTTTTTGTTCGTTTTCCGTGACTGTCACTCCTGATTACTTTCTACGTCATGAGTCTATCTTTCATCTTTATATTTTGTACCTTGATGTGTTAATGTGAACTGTGACAAATATATGATGACAGATTAATGCCAAGTTCTGGTGTTGATATAGACTGAGTGACAAATCGAAATTCAGTGAAGATTCCTCGTTAATCAGGTTCTTATAATTTTGTAGTTTGGAATTATTTTGAAAAACATCTTTCATTAGTGAACCTATTTCTTCATTTGACTATTTGACCAATTACGTAATAGACTGACTTTCACACATGACTGTAGAATTTCAAACTACTATGTATCTTTCTGCGTAGAACGAAGTGTTTTGATAGAATAAATGTAATTGTTTAGTGTAACAACAGTAACAGGAAAATATTGTTTCTTGATGACAGTTTCATTTCGTTTCGCGGAAGGTAACGAGAAGACCGAGAGGAAAAAAGGAACAAGTGGTATTGTAGTCTTCTAATATGGTACACCTTGCACTAAAACCATCATTTGCAAAATGTGCTTCATATCCTCTTCTGCTTCTCTCTTGATTCGCTCTTCATACACCTGCGTTGTACCTTGGATTTCTCTTGACATAATCCTTACTCATTACTGGTAATTCCTTATGATTTTTGCCACCCTCTTAACATATACTACTCATATCCATTCTTATCAGCAACGCCTACTACACTACAGTGTACTTTCTATAGGATTAATGTTATTGTCTTATACTGATTAATATACCTTGCTTGTTACTATCGAATTCCACCTTCTTTGTGATCACAATAAAATTCCTAGTACATGAATCAATTATTGAGAAAGATTGTGTGTAATGTACATTCCATTAGTCAAATTTTTAATCCAAGGTGTCAGTAAAACTAAAGTTTTGTTGACTGCTATATTCCCCATGCAACAACAGTCGTCGATGAAGTTGTTTTTTTTTTTTGAAACACCTCAAAGTTTCACACAAGTTTTATCGTAACCGAATGTTGTAGGGATGATTACGTAAATCATCGGTCTTGGATAGATTTAAAGACGCCTGATGCAATCATCGATGAGTGAATTAGTTCTACAACTTTTCATCGAATTATCGATCTTTTGTAGTTCGTTGTGTATACACTCAGTCTTTTATTGTTTCCTCTCGTGCTTGAGAAAATGACTAACCACTTATTCGTTTTTCTATCACTATGCTGTGTTGCAAATAAAACCTATGCAGAAAAATCCCACCCAAAGTTATATCTATAAATGACACTGGTAGGGCAACTAAACTAATTCAAAGGAGATGAATATTCTGTTTATACTACCTTTAAATATTTTTACCAATTTGCATATACACGCTGTAAGAGGGGACTTTCACCTGTTTTCCTGACGAAATTCTAAAGATTATTTGTTCTAGTTCGTCCAATCACCAGATTCCTTGTTTTACTTTAGAAATATCCAGTGTGACTGCAGTTTGATTCTATTTTGTGTGTGTTTGTGTGTTTTCCAATAATTCTTCACTTCAGTCATCATGTGATTTCAACTCATCTAGTTGATTGCCTCCTTATAAAGATATCACTGCTTTCACATCCCAAATGATGTGGTAGCTGGCATTAGTTATTCCTTTTCTTAAATGTTTTCTCCCTTCTCTGTCTGCAAATCGACTTTGGTATAGCGACCGCTTACCATAACATGCTATGCTAAGAAAAGTTTGATTAGATTGGAAAAGGGTTTTTAATGGCTGGACCGACACCTGGCACTAGTTGATGAAGCCCGTAACTGTTGGTCTTAGCCGTGAAGGGAGATGCAGATTACCTGCTTGGAGCCTTCGAGACAATAGGAATGAGTGGTTAAGGACTCTTGGTGACGTGATTGAAAGTCCGTTACAATAGCACAGATGTATTCACTTTTTGACATGTCTCAAAGCTTCAATATTTGGACGAATCATTATCTTCAGATTGTCTGTTCTTTCACATAACGTTTTCGACTTTAATATCACTCTTTTTCTACCCACTTGTTTTCTGTATACTGCTAGGAGTTGTAGTAAGGCGAGCCGATCCACCTGTTTGCGTGGTCCTATATTGACCCTGTCCTTCTGTTTATCTTCTATAGAATAACGTATAAGTTAGTAATTATTTCAAACTACATGGTTTTTCTTTGAGTATATTCTTCTATTTTAATTCGAATAAACACATGTTAATTTTAAGCAGTTTCCAAGCGATGAGAACTTATGAAGTAAATTATTATAATTTCACGCATCAGTTTTGTTTATTTGTTTAAATATTCCTTTGAAATGTATATCATTTATATGATATTTAGATAAAGAAAAATTATTCTTTTCAATAACTTCTTTTTCAACTTGTACAGTTTTATGTCCATATATTATTTAATTGTGCGTTACCGAGAGTATAAAATAGTCTAGGAACTCTCATCAGAAAAGACTTTTGTGAAGCGTAATATAAGAAGCGAATGTAGTCTGGAATTCAATCCAAAATATTATATCATATAAATATAGACTATGTATCATAGGTGTAACATTAAATGAGAATGACCCATATTCACTTCGGTTATGAAAGTTATATGAGGAAAGTCTACACTGAGTGAACGGAGAATTGAAATGGAGCGTGAATGTAAAATTAGATAATCAAGGTTGGCTTAACAAAAAAATACGTTGTACAGTGCTCTACAAATAATATGGAAGTTCGCTGTTATTGGTTGCATTATACTGTCGTTGATTGGACCGAATTCATCGGTCTCTATTGGCATATGAACTGCTGTGCGGATGCCTCGATATTGCCTGTATTTTTAACTATATAATAATTATAGTAATTAGTGGCTAGCAGTGGAATCCAGGATGCGCATTTTGTTTTATTTGGGACTCGTCGACTGGATGTACCTGTTTCCTAGTAAGTAATGTTATTCCCATCGGGATTCGAACTCGGGAGCGATCGCTTTAAACGCCAGAGCTTTATCCACTGACTATCATGACTCTATTGGAAAACGCCGTGGAGTTGAAAGCGATCTGTTTTGAGTCCGAATCCAGGTGGGAAGAACATCACTCACTGGGAGACAGGTACATCCGGTTAACGAGTCCAGAATAGGACGAAGCGCGCATCCGGGACTCCACTTCTAGCCACTATCCATCATAATGAAGGTTTGGTAAAATTTAATATTATATAGAAAGTATGAGGGAATGTGTGTGAAGGTGTTTGAAAGCAGGATTCGACAAACGAAATTTGGTGATTTGAGGAAGTTTGAAAGTTCGTATCATGTGAAGTAAAAAAGAACATATAAACGAACAATATTGCTTTGCCATTTTTAAGTGTGGTGAGAGCTTCAAATGGTGTACTGCTAACCGACTTGATAGACGTGCTGCTTAGCATGTACCTTCATAGTTACAAAAGGGATAGCTAATATTTATCCGATTGGTATTGCCCACTTATCAGATAAAAGCAATGCTTTCAAGATGGCAGGAGCAGTGAGAATTTGAGCTAGCAAACCAACTTTTTGTATTCAAGAGTTTGCACATCCTTTATCTATCATATGACCATTGAAAATTTTCGATCTCTCTCTACACCTCTTTCATACACTTGATATATTTGTTGAGACTTTCTTTATCCCGCAGCTAAATCTCATTTCTGATACAGAAGGCCGGTATGGCATTTGCCAGCTTACGTCACCTTTGGTGCCTGCAACATATCTGACCAT